CAGTATTACAAATGCCTTTCCTTCGAATGACGGTCAGTGTCCCCCCCCCCCCCCCCCCCATGTCCAGCACTCCCCTCTCCCATCTCCTAACCAACTGGAGGTGGGGGGGGGGGGGTACTGGAGGTAGGTCCGGCTGAAAGGAAGGTGAAAGGAAGGATGACGGAGTCCGAGCTGATGAAGGGGGTGGGGTCCGTGTCTTTTCTGTTAAGTGTACGTGGGGGGTACCGGTACCTAGCGATATAGTAGGGCCAGGAATCATGAAAAGCATTCTTTTCGCCTCTTGATGATTTAGTCCTGTCTTATCACAACGGATCATCCTCATTGTGAACCTGGCAGGGCCGCCGCACAGGCCGGGCCCCGGGGCGGGCGGCGGGCCCGGCACTGTGACGGTGGCAGGCCAGGGGCTCAGCGGCTCCGACGGCAGTGGCTGAGAACGGCCGGGTGAGTCGGACCCGACCGTGACTAGCAAGCCCGCCGGTTCCCTTCGGCGAGAACTTGATTTGCCGAAGTTGGCACTCGAATTGCCGGCGGGGCCGTCACTGTCATCATGGCCTCGGATCAGTCGCCGCCGACAGATTATGGCCCGGGTCGGGGACTCGGCAGTGCCCGGCGGGCCGGGCCCGGGGCCGGCCGAACCGTGACGGTGCCAACCGTTGGCTTGACCTTCAAGAGTCACGAGTCAGTTGGAAAGGACTCCTCAACGGCAGCGCTGGATTTACCGTGCCCCGGGCCCGGCAAAGTTAAGAGAGAGTCAAAAATCAGTACGACTCGGGCCGTGGGCACCGTCCGGTTCAGTGCGGCCTGATCCCAGAGCCTTCCGAGCCTAGTACTGCGCACTGCAGCAGTCACTCAGTGCCATGACTGCTATGATGCCATTCATGTGCGTGCGACCGTGATCGGACAGCCTGGCAGCCTGCCCTGTGCCCCCCGGCGTCACCGCCGCCGACGCGGCCCCCGGTGACGGTGCACTCCGGCCGGGGTCACTCTTGTCCTGAGGCACGGTTGTCCTTCCGAGTTATTAGTTGCAACTTTTAGTTGTCCTCGTACCGTTATGACTTGTTGAAACTCGGATGTAACGGTCCTGTTCCAGTTGGTGTCTCTTCGCGCGGATGCCTCTTCCCAAAACCACCACCCCTGGATCCTCACGGTATCACCCCTAGCCTTTCAATACCCCCACTTCATCCGGACTTACCATCACTTACTAGGGTAGGGTAGCACTCAGGTACCCCACCTGCTTCCATCGCTCTCAGGCTTCTATGGCCGGGGATCAGCGCATGTATGGCGCTGTTCCAAGGCCGACGGGCATGCGAGGCAGTAGGAGATGGTGAGTAGAGGATCACGAGGATCATTGTCTTCACCGAGTGAGGATAGAGTCTACAGGAGGTCTGACCCCTATGTCAGGTGGCAGACAAAGCTCGCGCTCATCCTCCCGACAGCTCTCCTCGGGTTGATCGCACTGATAGCTGTCGCCATCCTGTCTCGCAGCCAACCGATTTCAGAGCTGAACTCGGACTTTGATTATGAAAACCCACTTGTTCAGTGGAAAAGTGATGAAAAGCTCAAGTAACTGCAGTAGTATTGCTCTTGTCGCCTCTGATCGTTCCTTATCAGACAACGAGCAGCAGATGCTGCTCAAAAAGGTCATTGCAGCTGCAATTGTGAACAACATTCTTCACTCAAAGTGAAAGCTGCAACCATGCTGGAGCAAGTTGGAGAGGTACCCTTTTTCGGGAGTACTCATCCATTTTTGTAACATACTTTGCGAAGAATGTCTTCTTTGGACCTTGCGCTGGTTGTCCTTGTGTTCGGAGTAATAATTTGGAGAGCATGATAGCAGCCCTAGCTAGTCAGACTGAGGTTCTATCTTCTCCTCATTGTCTCCTCTGCTCTGAATGCGACATCCTTTAGCAAGTGGAGAGTCATGAGGAAGAGCTCGACAAGCTCTACAAATCCAAGATTCCTGTGAGTACCTTGCGGTGAGGCTGCTACCTCTGCATTTACACTCGCGGCTTCACCCCAGGTGGACATCAAAATTCGGGTCGGTCAGAAAGGAGTTCCTGGAACTGAAGGCCCGAAGGGATTCAGGGGTCCAGATGGCGTAGTCGGTGATCAGGGACCCCGTGGGCCGCCAGGGCCTAGAGGGCCGACGGGGCCGACAGGTAGAGACAATGGTCAATCCTGTTGAGAGGCTCTGACGGGCATGTCAGGACCTCCAGGGCCTCGAGGATTCAAGGGAGCGGATGGCATCACTGGCCCTCCCGGTCCGGACGGTCCGCGTGGGAAGACAGGTAAGGCTCCTTCCTGTAGCCTGCCTTGCATGACGGCTGCCTTTCAGGACCCGCAGGACCTGAGGGACCCGAAGGAATAGACGGGAAGAGGGGCCCGACGGGTCCTCCAGGGAGGGATGGTATTCCTGGAGGTTGTCTGGAGATTAAGTGCTGACCCTGCTCTTGAAGGTGTTCCTGGCCCACCAGGCTCCAACGGCCGTCAAGGTCCTCGTGGTCGCCCAGGTCCCACTCGAGGACCGCAGGGGCCTCCAGGAGAGCCTGGCCCCCAAGGTCCCATGGGAATGACCGGAAAACAAGGGCCTGAAGGCCCGAAAGGGTATGAAGGACCTCTGGGAGGCAATGGCTTGCCTGGGTCTCAGGGTCCAACGGGTCTACGTGGATTGTACGGACGAGGATGTGATGGCATAAGGCCAACAGATGCCTCACAGCTCAAGGTGCTGGACGCCTGCGGAACTTGTGGCGGTGACGAGAGCGAATGTTCGTTAAGTCGCTCAACACAGACAGCGCATGCAGTGGGTGACCCGCATTACCGCACGTTTGACGGCAAATCCTTCGATTACCAACTCAGTGGTGAGTTCATATTGGCAAGACACATGAACGACATAGAATTTCAAAACAAGCAAGTTCCGTGTCCCAACTCATGGGTTCGCTGCAACATCGGAGCAGCCGTCATCACAAAGAACTGGAACATTGTCTTTCGCAGCGACTGGAGATTGGATCAAATCATGGTTAACGGCAACATGTGGAGACAAGGATCAGACTATCGGTACGGCCATTGGAAAAGGCTCGATTGGAATCTGCGAATGCAAGTAAACGGGGGTCACTTCCTATTAGAATTTGCTGAGCTCAAAGGAGCGGAAGGAGCTGTTGTCTATGGATATCAATATGGCTGGGGTGCTCCGCTTCCCAACGGGCTCTACATGAATCTCTACTTTCAAGCTCCTTGGCGATGGAGCTCGGGTTTGAGCATGACAGGTTTATTCGGTAACTTCGACGGCAACTGGCAAGATGATTGGGACTCGATCTCTCCTTCGACTCTTTGGTGGGTAGCAGGCACGTCGCGATCAGCTTTCTCCAACTCTCAGTACCGCCTGGACTGGGGCAATCGAATCCATCGCAACCACAAGTCAGGAATCACGTCCCTTCAATCCTTGGAGAAGTCGTCGGCTTTGGCTGGGCAGGAGCAGAAATACATATCGGTGGTGAATTGGTCGCCAGAGGACGAATATACCGCTCTCAAAGAGGTGGATCATCTTACCACCAAGATGAGGAAGCGACTGTTTGACAAGATGGTGAAGGATAGAGTCATCGAGAGGTCTAAGGGCGAGAAATTGCCAACTTCGCAACTTGCTCGCGCAGAGTTAGACATCATGCCCTATCGAGGAGAGCGACCAGATCACCTGCGTATTGAGCAGCAAATTCTCTTCAGAAAGGAGTGGAAGCTTCTCAAGCCCTCAGAGAAATCTCAGATGCTTGCAGGCCAAGTAGTGAGCAACAATGCATTCCCCATGTCCAAGATGTGTGCTGAATGCATCAGGGGATCGCAGGAGTGCAAGGACAAGGGGATCGTAGAGACACCAAAGGCTATCGGAATCACCTACCAGGATCAAGCCAAGATGAACTCTTGCCACAAGGCATGCCTCCCATGGGTCCCCGCCGAAACTTCGAAGGTGATCTGCAAGTGTCGCATCGACTGCTCGATGGGTGTGGACGAGGCTCAGTGCACCAGCGACGCGGTTGAGAACTACCTCTCCTCCAGGTTGGCTGCTCTCATTCCCGGGAAGGGCTCTTTGAATGAGCGATGCATTGCCTTGAAAGGCGGTATGGTCAAGGTGTACAAGGGAAACAAACCCGGTGTTGAAATGCTGTGGAATCAGACTACCGCTCCGAACTTTGCGGTGACGTTCTGGTGGAAGCCGGACTTGCCCACTTCCTACGAGAAGAAAACAAGAAAGAGTCTTCTGTACAAAGGGCCCAAGATTGAACAGAACTCAAAGTTGCCTTCTAACGTGCCGCTGCACATCGAAGTGGAGCCTCAAGGAAATGATGTTTCCCTCATTGTCACTGTCGCTGGATACGAGAGCAAAGTGCCAGCAGAAAAGTGCTCCATGCTCACAAAGCAAGAATTTACTTTTGTTGCTGTCACGAAGCGAGACAGCTCAATCACAGTCTGGTTGGGAGTGGACGGGAAAGAAAACTGCCAAACGATCTGCCCAGACAAGACGCTGCTCGGATGCAAGGATTCCACATCTTGTGCGACTAAAGTTCACAACTTCAACCTTCCCAGCTCGCACTCATATGAGACGTCAGTGGACGACGAGATCACCATCGTAAGCCCGTCAGCGTCGACTGACGAGATTCCAGGGGGTTGGATGGGGAAACTGAATTACTTTGGCCTGGGAGGGTGGGATCCGACGAACAAGGTACCTCTTTGGGACAAGAAGATCCCGGACATTGTACACATGAGACAACCGAGTGAGTGTGGAGCGTAACTGATGCTCGAGCGCTACTGTTCTTTTAATGAAGCTTCGATCGCCAGCCTGATCTGCTCTTCCTCCGTCAGTCGCGCCCTTGCTCTCTGTGCCTTTGCCCTGCCCTTCTTTCGCGATTGCTCAGTGTGCTTTGAGAACTCCTCCTGCGACTTCTCTGGCACCCGCCCTCCTGCTTCTCCGCCTCCCGTTCCCTTAGAACTTCCTCGTCCACCTGCATTCGTTTTGCGTGCGACGTGCGGCTTCCCCTTCTTGAGATCGGCTTGTAGAAAGGCTTCGGTCAGATCCCTCATCAGCTCCATGTCCTCCTGCAGCAACAAGTCACATGAGCAACTCTCGAGAGCTCTCGAGCAGCATCAAGTCACCTCGGAGACTTCCTCGACGATGGTTTCTTTGGATCTCTTGGACAACTCAGGCAGATTCTGCAAGGATTCCAACGAGGACTTGATGCTCTCGACATCTTCATTGCTGCACTCACCCATCACACATGATACAATGTTCGGTTCGGTCGCTACCTCTTGCTCTGAGCTTTCAAGGACCGGACGAACAAGTTCTCCTCCTCGGGCTTCATCACCTGAGGGACTAGTGACAAGAGGTCGCTCGTTGGAAGCTTCCCACCTCGGGATTGAAGCAGTGCAGGGCAGCCAGCAGCTTGAAGAAGGCCCGTGTGAAGGGCAGATGCATCTTGTCGCTCTTGGTGAACCCTGCTGTGCGGTCAGAGCTGCAGCTGCTGAGGCAGCTCCGCCTACCGTTGTAGTCTGGCCCTCTCTTGAGGACCTCGGCGATGGCAGCTGGCCAGAAGGAGTCAGCACGACGAGACGAGTCAGACGAGGACGAGGAGCACAGGATGAAGCGTCGATGACCCGCTGCTTGAAATTCGAGTCGTCGCCGAAGAGTTCGACCATCTGCTGGGAGTTAACGCAAGCAGGACGAGGGGGCAGCAGGACCTTGAGAAGGTCGGAAGCAAGGGGGTTGAAAGGCTGTTTGACCCCCCATGCAATCATCGCAGTGTTGTTCCTCTCAATCAGGCTAGAAGTAGCAAATCAATCAAAAGAGTCAGCTACCCAGACGTTATCAAGCAGAGACAAACGGGGAGAATGAAGGGTGGGACGAAGGACCTGATCAGAAGTTTGTTGTAGATGTCGTATCCTGCTAACACATCTATGGTTGGAGGATCCTACAGGGTGACCAGCGTCACTCTCAAGACTGTGCCGGCAACTCCGTCACCTCATACTCGCAGAAGAGAAGCAACCACTTGAGCAGCAAGGACACGATGTCGATCTGGTCGATGAGAAGCACCTGAGGGTTTGTGAGAGTCAAGAAGGAGAAAGTAGAGGCAGCAGCCGAGTCGCTTCACCTTTTTCAGGACCGAAAGCGACAGACCGTCTTGCATGTGGTTGGAAACCAAGAGATCGGCTACAAAGTCGGCATCGAGGCTTTCAGGGTCCAGTTAGGGACGTTGCGGGGGCAAGGGAGAGAGGAGAGAGACCTGCAGTAGTAGAGAACTTCGATCGCGTTCGATATGTACAGGTGAAGCTCTTTCCTCCGTTTTACGTCGCTGAGGTTGCCAGGTCACCGACCGGAGTGGGCGCGTGACTTTGACCTCACCTGGTCTCGTCGACCTCGGCGATGAAGATGGAGATGGCGTCGAAGAGGCCGTTGCAGATGGTCTCCGTGATCAGCTTGTGGGAGGTCAAGTCTTGTCGGAATGAAAACTGATCCGAGCCTTCACTCTTGCGAGCCCCTTCCCGCGCTCGACACTCCATGCGCAGAAGTGAAGCCAACACTTGCAACGAATGCCCTATCAGATCCACCGCTGATGTACCACTGACAACTGCATCCCCTGGAAGTATCCCGTCTGCCTGTGAGCTAGTTGTGGACTCTTCCCCTTGTGCCTCGCTCTCGTCTCCTCCATTTCTGCTCTCTTGCTCCACAGTTGCCGCCTCATCTTCTTCATCTTGTGAGACCTCGGCCGGGTCTTGTTTGCTGCATTGGACTGCAATGCCGATGGTGAAGCAGAACAGCATCGCGTCAACAATCTTTTCTGATTGTGAGATCGTGTTGGGAGGAGAAGGTCTCGACGAGAACACGTTCTCAAGGATCAGCGGAAAGTCTGAGCAGAGGTGTGACAGGCAGAAAAGAACGTTTACACAATGCGAGAGGTGTGTGATCCATTTCCCTGACTTCTGATGCTTCCTCAGCACAGCAGCAACTGAGGACGGGACCCTCTCGCTGACCAGCACGCTGATCAGATGATCCGGGAGCTCGAACCCCAGCCACACCAAGTCGATCGCCTTCTCTCCTTCCAGTACAATGTACAGCTTCCCCCTCACCTGTGCCTGCTTCGCAGGTGCTGCAGGAGAGGAGGAGGAGGAGGAGGAGGGTGCAGAGGGTAAGGAGGAGGAGGAGGTGAACGGCTTCACCTTGCAGCCCTTCCTCATCAACCGCATGTTCACCTGCGACAGGCTCTGCACCGCCGCCCCAACATCGCGCTCCCACTCCATGGACCCAATGGAAATTTGAACCGATTCAATCCTGTTGATTTTAGTCGATTGCACCAACCATCCGCAGATCCTTGAGTTCAAATCGGTTTGAATCAAATTGTTGCTCAACACGCTTCTTCAAATCATGGTGTCAGGGAGCAGGAGATGAAGGCATGGCAGAGGTCGGCGCCCTCCTCGAGGAGGGGGAGGAGAGGAAGGAAGGGGCAGCAGGAGAGGAAGGACTGCAGGACTGTGAGTGACAGCTGCAAGTACTCCCTCGGGGAAAGCGACGACGAGACCCTCGACCTCCTCAGAGGTTCGACCCTTATAGACGACACGCTGACTGAACAGCACCTTGCCGTTGACCCTGCCTCCTCTCACTCTTTCACTTGCAATCAAGAGACACCAGAGCTCTTGGCTTCACCTGACAGACATCCGAGCTCGATCTCAGGGCAGGCAGGCAGGCAGCTGCTGACCGAGCAAGAGCAGACGAGGCTCATTGAATGTGAAGATGTGACAGTCTTGAAGAAGTTGCTCAACTCATCGAAGAAATGTGAAGAATTGGCGAGAGTTGTAAAGAAACAAGACATGCTCTTGTACGAACTTGTTGCACAGAACATGAAGCTTAAAGATGAAATGCAAAAGTGCAAAGCGAAAACCGCTGGATTGGTGAAATTTCTTCACATTCTGCTGGCGGCTAGTCTGACGAGCAGAAGCAGGACGAGAGAAAGACTCACGTGTTAGAGTTGGCCCTGCAGACATCAAACAATGTTGTTTCAAGCTTGAAGCGGAAGATGAAGATGCTGGAAGTGATGACGATGCTCTGTTTCCCCAGAGAGTCACCTGCTGGCAGGATGCTCTCAGTCAAAAGACTTTGCAGTCGGAAATCAGCAAGAGGATTGCAAACCGATCCAGGTGCATAGCCTTATCTGCTCCTACTCATCTGATGCTTGTCATCTGATGCTTGTCAAAGACAGGAAGAGCGACAACTCTCCAGTGCGTTGAAGTCGTCAGCCGACGACCGCAGAGCCCTGCACCATGAACTCATGAACGAGAGGATCGAGTACTCCAACGGGTGATGGTCCCCCTTCCTCATTTCGTCGCATGCTCTCGTCCTCTTAGTCGTCCCTCACTTTCTCCCAGGATGCAAACTCTTCGGAAAGATGCCAACCAGCTGGCCCAACGGATTGCTCACATGACAGCATACTTGGCATCGAAAAATTTGAGGAGTCGAATCTTGACAAGAAAATTTCGAAGTTGGAGTTCGGTAGCTGCTGAGAATCTCAGAGGAGACATAGTAAGAGAGTTTCAACAGGCGGTAGCAGAGAAGCGCTACGAACATCTCGTGCTGGGAAATCTTAAGTCTCAAAGTCGTTCCACTTTTGATGCGATCCCCTTCAGGTGTTGATCAAGCCATGGAGAGATGGATGGAGAAAAAGCTGTTGCTGGTGTTTGGTCGACTGATTCTGCTTATCTGACTGACATTTGCCGCAGCTTGTTTGGAGGAATTGGTGCTCATCAAGGTCCGGCTAAAGCTGCCGGGTCGGCCGACATCCCATTTGGTTCCAATCATATTCCTCTTGTACTATCTATGAAGCAAATATGTATGAGTATAAAGGAAATGTCATCGATAACTTGGGGTTCAATCTTCTTTGTACTCCTTTGGGGTGTTTCACTCCTCGCACACCTGAAAAAGACATTGGCAAGACACCAACACCATTGCCAATGCAGATTTTCTGTCGAACAAGCGAGTGTACATGATTGAGATTCAACACAAGAAGCCACAATGTCAGGATTTTCTGTATTCATTCTATTACTTTTGTACAAAGAATATTCACGGTATCGTAACAGCATCTCAATCGGCTCGGGTAACTTCATCGAAAAAGGTCGGAGGAGGATTGGGGAAAGTTCGGAAATGTTGCACTTCGCCAGTGTTGAGGTCCCGGCACGTCAAGATGTCAAATTCACTGGAGGTTCCAGGAGGAATGATCCCCGTAACGAGCGTTGTTCTGCCATGCCATTGCTTGTGATATCCGGTGTATATGGTATTCCCTACAAACTCCTTCTCAAGCTTCCTGTAAGCCTTGAGCTCACACTTGAGATGATGATTCATCTTCCCCCAAACTCGCAGCATGATCCCTCCATATGGGCTCGACTTGCGCACTGTGATAGTCCCCCTCTCCTCCACTCCGTTGGTGTCAAGCAGCGAGGGTCCGAAGGAGCTCACGGGCAGTCTGGCAGGGATGGCAGTGGCACCATTGAAGTCTCTTGGTCCTGGGAGGGGCGAGGTCACGGTTGCTGGAACCTCTTCCTTGATCCCCGGGGGATTCCCTTGCTGGCTTTCGTCCACAACCTGAGCAGACAGTGACTGCTTGGACGTGAGCTGACGGTTGTTCTGAAGCTTGTTGTGCTGGAGAATCTCGTTCTGTGTGTTCAGCTTGTTGTTCGAACGAAGAAGGTGATTGATCTTCCTCTCAAGTCTGTTCACTTTCTCCAAATATACTTCTTGATTTTCCATGTCTGCGAGAGATTTTGCTTTAGCCTGTGATGAAGTTGAGGACAACTTCTGCATCAAAGCTACTTTGTTGGCCTTCAATCCTCTCTTCAGCAAATGATTCAACGCCTCCGCATCCAAATGCACCGAGCAATCCTCAACTGACATGCCATCGCAATCATCAGCACGGGACTTTTGTAGACGGTGGTATTCCTCCTCTTCACGAAGATTTTTGTTCTGGATCTTCTTCCGATCATGCAAGATTTGTGACATGGAGGGCATGAACTCAGAGTTATGAGCGTTGACAGCCTTGGGCTTCTTCTCCTCCCGTTCCAGCTGGGTAACAACTTTCCTTGTGGAATCTACCATGTCCGAAAGTAGCCTCCCCTCCATATGGATCAGTCTGCTCCCAAGGTTCTCGTTCGTGGGAGCCACTGCGACGATTCTTCCTCTTCCCGTGCGCATGACGAACAGCAGAGCCACCACCCACCCCAGTGCCGCAGCTCCTCCAGCCATCCCCAACCGCATCCGCTTCGCCATGACTCTTCGCTCTTTACCAGGACCACATCCCCTGACCTTCACCACCCGTTCACAAGTCTCGACATCATTTGATTCCTACTACCCCAGTACCCCCCAAATATCCCTTCATTACCCCACCCTTACAGTAAGAAGCTTCAACCCCTACCCTCCTTGCACAACCTCTAATTGTAACTGAAGACAACGGTCACAGCATGCAGGCAGGACCCGGGTAAGGAGGGAGCGACTATGAGGCGACCGGAGCTCGTGATGCTGGCGGTCATGCTGAACCTGTTGCTTGCTGCTGATGGCGAACTCACCCTGCACAATCGAGACAACATGACGGTCATGAGCCGACAGCAATCTGCTGTGATTGAGTCGAGCGCAAAGGAGCTTTACCAGACTCTGCTGAAAAACAAACGAGACAAGAACGAGTTTTTAATTGCTCTCTTCTACTCAGATGATGTGTTCAGCACAAGAGCCGTTCCATTCTTTGATGTCACTCCCCAGTTTTTTCCTTTTCCGAACAACGTCAAATTTATCTCATTCAATGCGAAGAACGATCGCAAGATGATTTTGCGATTTCGATTGCATGGTTTCCCCACCATTGTTTGTTTTCACAAGGGCAAGATAACATCGCGGCTTGAGCGAGCGTTCACCACTGACAACATCATTCGGTTTGTGAACAGGAGCACTGGGATCTCACCGATTAAGGGGCAAGTTCCACAGGTGTGGGTGACGGAGGAGGGCAGGGCGAGGGTGGACGGGCAGGATCCTTTACTGCACTTGTCAATGTTGTTGATTGTGTTGGGAGGTCTTCACTTGCTCTATCAGTCGACCAGAAGGACGGCAGAGTCTTCAGAGCATGACAAGAGTGACTGACTTGCTCACAAGTTTCGAGATGTGGCACAGCAATGCTGACACGTGGAGGATATTGAGCCTCCAGTCAGCAGGTTCAACGGACTTGATCTTGTTGGAAACATTTACTCGTGGTGGCTCCTACGCTCCTTCAGTGACTTCTTCTGCAGCTCGTGAGCATATTTCTGCATGCTCTTCCTCAGCCCCTCTCGGTCTATTCCCGGGGCATCCAGGCACATGATGGCGCGATCAAGAGTTTCCTTCATCTCCTCCTTCTTGTGATCGTTTGAGATCACGTCAACAGCCACGAAGAGCCGCAGCAGTCTCGTGCTTGTTGGGATGCCTTTCACGGAATAGAAAGCTCTCCTGAGCGCCTCCGATGCTGGACCATACTTCTGGTACTTCTCCAAGTTGACGGCGATCTGCTCTAGGATGGAAATCTCCGTAGGGAAACTCTCGTCGAGGGACAGGCCGTACATGAGGGCTTGTCTGAAGGCGAAAAGCGCCTCGCTCATCTTGATCTCAAACTCCGGACTCTCCGCTGTGATCTCCCCAGCCTGATGCATGCAGTTAAGGGTTATCATTCCCCAGACTTCCGCGTTCCGACTATCCAAGATCGAAGCTTGTTGTAGACAGTTTTCAACAAGAGATAAGTCTGGCATGGTCTTGTGAAAGCATGCGACGGCAAGACCCAGCCAGCATGTCGCGTACTGTCTTAGCTTACATGCCTTCTCCATGACCTTCTGTGCCTCAGCAAACTCTTTCATGGCTATGTGTAGCCGTGCCATTCGAATGTACTGAAGTAAATCGATGTTGGGATTCCGTGAAGACAGGGACTTGTTGTAAGAGAAGAGCACGTCCTTTGCTGGAGGGACGTCGAAGTCAGACCTGTACTTGTGCCATTCCAGCTCCATGAACCAGGTGTGGCCCTTGAGTGTCAAGGCGACTGCCGCGTCTGCGCTTCCTGGACTGCTGCTGATCACAGCGTCCAGGTGTTCTCTGCTCTTGTCATACTCGCCGTTGTTGAGGTACGTCCTCCCAAGGATGAGATGCAGACTGTCGCTGCTTCTGTTCTTCTGCACTTCTTGTGCCATGGCTTGCTCTACCAGGAGCGTCGCATTCATCTCAGCAAAGAAAGAGCCAGCTCGAAGATAAGGAGAGACCTTCGATTGCGTCATCTTCTTTTCGATTGAGTTGAGCTGCTTGTCGCATGTTCGTCTCTCTTGTTCTCTTGCTTCGATGTCATAAAAACATGCCGAGCAAGCCCAAGCCAACGCGTTGGCCCCACACTCACAGGCCTGACGGAAACTCTCTTCCGCCTTGCTCATTTCGTTCTGAAGGAAAAACAAGGAGCCGAGGGCCAAGAAGGCAAACATGTTCTTCCCGTCCACTTCAACAGCCTTGTTCAGATACTCTTTTGCTGCGTTGTAGTCCCCCGAGCGGATGGTCATCGTTCCCAGGTCATACCACAGGCTGGAGTTGTTTGAATCGGAGACCAGCCGATTCTGCAGGTGCGATTTTGCCTTGTCATAGCGAAGAAGAAGTTCGGCTTCTACCGCGAGCTCCAGCTCTTGTGTCAAGAGATCTTCACCGCTCACATCTCCTGTGAACTTGGGTTTCTCAGCTTCTAGATCGAAGAATTCCATTATAAATCGCTTCAGCTGTTCCCTCAAGAAGGCATTCAGATTTGCTATCTCATTGCTGATGTCACCCACGCTTCCTCTGTGAAATCTTTCTTTGACCACTTGTAGCACTGAATGTTGTATCCGCTCCTTGAGGTCATGATACTTTCCCTTGCTGTTCAATTGCGTCATGACAGTTTGCAGGGCGTTTTCGATCGACATTCTCTGCTTTCCAGTTGCTTCGATCTCACCCAAGATTTCAGATGCAGCCCATCGAAAGTCTTTGTTCAGCTGTTCGAGAGTCGTAGACGGCAAACTTTCCAAGGAATCGACTGGAGCTCTTTGCTCGAGGATCTCGCGCACTGTAGCGAGCGGAGGAGGAGGAGACTGTGGCTTTGGAACTATCGGGCGAGCACAAACGATCTCAAGCAGGAGGTAGGTTTCACTTCTGAGGTACGGGTTGGTAGCTTCACCATTGTGCAGGATTTCTTCGGTTTCCTCCACACCTTCAGGTGGAGGAAGCTGTTGTAGCTCTTCTTCTGTCGGAACACTGAAATCAGCAGCTGGACCAACAGGGCAGCGAATAGCAAGTGTCCGAATGTCGTTTGCCATTATGCCTGAGAGGTCAACATTGGCTAATCCCTTGTACTTGTTGGTGTAAACATAGTCTGCTCCGCTTTTCAAAACTCTCCGAATGCTTACAGGGAATCTTGCTTTCTGAATCGCATCTTTAAAGCTATCAAGAGTGGAAGGAGTCATGAAGGTTCGAAATCGGTGATTCCAAACAACACGTATGGACTGGTCCTCTTCTTTCAGACTAATCTCTTGGAGAGTCCCTTGCAAGAATGCTTTTTCAGATTCACTTCTCACATCGGATTCATCCTGTGATGAGGGGACGCTCAAACTTCCGTTCTCTGCCGTCACTTGCACAGAACCGGATGAGGAGGGAAAGTCGTATGCAGCTTCATACCAATACTTGTGATCTTCCATCTCTTCTCCCTCCCCCACGTTCCATGTAGGCGGCAGGTTGTAGAGCCCGCGGACGTTGACTGTGATCACGTTTGTCTTGTGCTCCTCTTCAATTGAAAACACCGGCCTCGAGAGCTCCATCCGCACGTGAACCTCGCACGTCACCGGAGGCTCCGCAGACTGAGCCGCCTCTGGGGAGGTCAGAGGAAGGAGCGTGAACCATCCTTCTACTGTAGGCTTCTCCAACTCCCAGCCCTCGTCATCGAACTGCGGACGTTTCCTCCAGATAAGAGGGACCAAGGAGACTGAACAGCCTCCCTTGTAATCATCGCTCCCTACTGTGGCTGTGACGACATACAACATATCCAACGAAAGAAGGTCTGCAAGCAACTCGCGGTGGGCCTCAGAATCTTGCTGCGGGAATACATGAACGTTCTCATAAAGAGGTTTTCCTGGCGTCTTCTCTTGCAAGGAGAGCTCTCCTGACCCCTGAAGCTTCCCTTCCTTCTCTGCATCCTTTAATTCATCGCCTTGGTCGTCCTGCAGCCTGTAGGTCAATGCCACTTGCTCATCAACTGCCGGAGCTGAGAGCTTGACGTCGAGGAGCTGAATACGGAGAGAGACAAGGTCTTCCTGAGCCTCAGGTGATGGCGCTTCTTCGCTCATCCCTGGCTGTACCTGGGGTTGGGGGATCAAAGCGGTTACTACAGCTTCTTCGCACAGCCTGCGCTACGATCAAAAGATACATCATTCTACTGTTTATGAAGCATTGTTAACTACCTGAACCCTCCCTCCCTCCCTCTCCCTCCCTCGCTCCCTCTCCCTCGCTCCCTCTCTCTCCCGCCCTCTCCCTCCCCTCTCCTTCCCTTCCCTCTCCCTCCCTCTCCCTCCCTCTCCCTCCCTCTCCCTCAGGGCCTCTCCCTCCCTCGCTCCCCGTGTCCCTCCCTCTTTCTCTGTCCTCTCCCTCTCCCTCCCGCCGCCCCCGCCCTGTACACGCCCCCTCTCTCTCATGCAACATCAGACTGAAGCTTTGAACTGTGTTTGAAAATTTGGATCTAGAGAGGTTCATTTTCCTCGTGTTCAAACCTTTGATCAATCCTGGTGAGATGCTTTCCTACTTGTCACACTTTCTACATGAAGCCTCACTCCTCTTCCATCATCGTGGTTCCCATTGCCGCTACCAATGCTGCCTCCTACTCCCTTCCTCCGAGGCTTTCCTTCCCTCACCACTTCGGTTGCTACAAGTTCGCCCGCTTCTTTCTTCTCAGCCGGGCTGGCCTCGGTGTCTTTCTTTTAGCAGATGACAAAGGCAGCGATTCTTCAAGGCTTGTTCAAGTTCGATGTCCCCTCGCTCCCTTTAGAAGCGGATTCTAATAAGAACTGTCGACGCAAAAAATTTGCGATCGCCGGGACTCGAACCCGGGCCACCAGCTTGGAAGGCTGATGTGCTGACCACTACACTACGAACGCGCATGAGGACAGGTATTGTATCTAGGCGTAGAGATATCCTTGAGGTCGTCAGGACTGAAAAGTCAATATTTTGAGGCAGAAAACTTTAATGTCGAGGTTTTCCTCTGAAACTCTACGTTTGAGAGGTTTCGATTCTTGGGGATAAGAGGGGGTACAGGACCCTATTGTTTGGGGAGAGGGGTGGGTAGCCTGTGGTGTAGGGGTATTGATTAAATCATTACGTATTTCTTATCCCTCAGGTGGGTACTTACATGGAAAAGAGGGGGTGAGGAGGTGTAGGGGTGATACACTCAGGGTGGGTCATGGAGGCGCAAGAAAGGGGAGCTGAGGGGCGAGGTATCATGGCGGGAGAGCGGAGAAACAGGGTGGAAACGACCAGAAGACGGAGGAAGGCGATCAGGACGAGGAAGGAGGTCGAGGAAGGAGGGACCAGGAAGATGTCAGATAAAGAGGAAGGAAGATGAAGATAATGCAGAAAGACGGAAAAAACAGGTGGCAAGAAATCACGGTATCGGTGGGATAGAGATGCATCCATTGATGGAGGTAGGATGGCACGAACATTTTAGATAATGAGCAAAAAATCGTTTTCATCTGCAATCGTGAGAAGTTAGGCAAAAAGATGCAAGCAGTTTTAGTATCAACTTCATGTAAGCACTTCACGTCGAATATCTTTACGTTTTTTGGAGAAGATCGATTTATGTGCTCTCATGAAGACTGATGTAAAGATGGCTACCATCATTTGATCTTGTTGTGATTAGGTGTAACTTGGTGTTGGAAAAAGCAAAATCGAAAATGTCGGATCGACAGGAACCTCTTAAGCAGGAAGGGGAGTATGCTTCTGACGTACAACAGTCTAGGGGACCAGCCTTCTCTATCCAGCCTGATGATTCTGCTGAGATTCAGCAGGGGAGACCTCCTATGATGGGGGGTCCAGCAAACTTTGACAATGATGCATATCCCTCCAAAGTGACAAGTTTTGCTTATGGTGGGTCTGCAGAGGCTTCCAACCGTACTTTTGCTGTATCAGCTTCGGGCCGAACTTTCCTGTTCAGCTTACATCAACCGATATATCGCGATATGGAAGACAAGACAGCACAAATCTTCAAGTTCTTGAACATGGTTTGTGCCCTTCTTATGATTGGTTGTGGTATCTATCGGTTCTTTGCATCCTTCAGTGGCCGTATGGTGGTGGAAAGTTGCGACAATTCCAAGCTGCAAAGGCTACAGACTAATATAAATTCCACAAAATTAGACTGCAATGCAATCAAGGACATCATTTCAATTCCTGCTGATGGATTCCAAATCTTTGTCGTATCCTGCTTCATTATTTTCTTTGGCGTCGTCAACTTCATTGATGAAGTCCGGGGTGATTTGGTGGCTTGGATTCTCCAGTACATTGATGCTGTGAACAATATCTTTGGCAGAGGCATGTAAGTCAAGATAGCTTTGCCATAACCAATACTCACCCCAGCCTTGCAGATATCTCCTTCTGCTATCGTCAATTGTCATGACGTCTTCACATTCTTTTCTGCTCGTTTGTGGAGCTTTTGCGTAATTTGTGTCTCTTGGGAGTGTTAGATTGTTTTGACACATTTGTGCTCGGACAGGATGTCTCTTGCTTTTATCTACCTGCTGGCATGGTTTTTGAGCCGGGTGAGTTTTTCTCGACTCACTCTTCTGAGAAGTTGATCTGCATTGTTTTAGTATACTTCTCTGGGCGAAAGAGTCGGTGTGCATCACTACGATCAGGTACTCTCAAAGCCATGAAGGCCTTGCGCTTCTTGCTTGACTTAGTCTTGCTTGACTTAATCGTTGTTTTCCAGCATTCTGGACCGTCGAGCGACTCCGAGAACAAAGAGTACTGCAATCTCAAGTTGTTTGCTTCTCCATGACTTTGCCCTTGGCAGCAATATTTACACCGTTGCAGCTTGAGAGGCCACGATATATTCAAGTGTCATGATACAGGAGTTCGTTTCAATTCTTGAGGCTATGTGAATCCATGTCTATCAGCTGACAAATGCGATAAGTACGATTGTACCAAATTGAAGTAAATTGTAATCAAGCAGAAGACAGCAACATGTTTAACCAGACCGATTCCTTTACGGTGAAAGTTCTACATGATCCCAGCGATCAGCATCGACCCCGCTAGTGCCCTTACTCTCTTTCGATCCAAACAAGTTGGTCTTCCTTCCCTCTCTTCTCCTTCCGCCACTTCTGCTTCTGCTTCTGCTTCTGCTTCTGCTTCTGCTTCTTCAACCAACATGTCAGATCTTCTTGACATGGTCCATGCTCACAAACAGCATGAATTCGCACCTCGATCGATCCCGATCCCAAAGAGGATGGGATGAACTAGCCGTCTCCCGCATCCTGCTCGGGCGCAAACTCTTCTTGCTGGGACTGCGACTGCGAGCTGAACGTCGATTGCTAGACGACAGGCAATAAGCTGACATGAGCAACTTCACAAGCACCCTCACCGATCCATGCTCCTGCTGCGGCTCCGCCTGCTGCGGCTTGCTGGCTCTTTCCTTGCTGTTGACCTTGAGTTCTCTGTGCCTCGGGATCTTGATCGGGAGCGGGAGCGGCGGACGCTCGGGCTGGGGCTGCGAGAAGACTCCGAGCTTGCGCTGCGGCTTCTCACCGCCCTGCCAAATTCATCGACTTTTGCGTGGCGACGGGGCTTTCTGGTTCGACGTTCACGTGCAAGGGTCGACACAGACCCCACCTCAGCCACCTTGCGCCTGAAGACAGCGTTCTGCAGATCTGAGACGAACCGCTCTCTCCCCTCCTTGGTTTTCTTGGACCGCTTCGCCTTAGTGATCGCCCTTCTCTCGATGCGGATGGTCAGCTTCACTCCACCTATTGTTACGCCTTCGTCTTCATGGATAGCTTGCACTTTCCCGACGGGGATCCTATTGCCATCCATGAAAGTCCCGGTGTAGCTCCCGACATCTGTGATCCACAGCCTTCCCGCCCGGTAGTCCACCTGCTCTCATTCTCACGGGAGCTAACGACGAGACAAGAAACCTTGAGGTGCGTGTCTGCGACCTGCTCGTTGCCGGAACCCGTCAGAGCCACCTGGTCCTTGCGCTTCAGATTGCGGGAAAGAGACGAGGGAAAGAGACGAGGGAAAGAGACGAGGGAAAGAGACGAGGGAAAGAGACGAGGGAAAGAGACGAGGAAATGAGACGAGGAAATGAGACGAGGAAATGAGACGAGGAAATGAGACGAGGAAATGAGACGAGGAAATGAGACGAGGAAATGAGACGAGGGAAAGAGACGAGCAGCCAGGTCAATGACCTCATTGTTTGGAGAAGTTCCGACATAGAAGGGCGTCTTGGAGACTTCGAACCATCTGACGGGGCCTTGACTTGCCTCAATGATGAAGATCGGCCGGAGCCCCTCCACGGCATCCTGTTCCACCGGTCTGCAGTGAAAGTCACCAGACATGAAGAAAGTCTTCGCCCTCCTCGTTCTCGTCCACCTGTTCAGCGCGTTGTCATCGTCACTATAGTTGGAGCCATGATCCGAAGAGCTTTAAAGCGTGTATCAGCAAAAGCTTGTGTGAGTTCGGTATCGATGCTAACCTGCTCGAGTCACAGGAGTACTCGCCTCCTGCCGGATCCCCTATGGTGATGTACTCATCCTCTTCCTCGTCCTCTCTCTTTCCTCTTCCTCCCTTTTCCCTCACGCTCGTCTGCTCCCTTCCAGCCCCCTCTTCCTGCATGACACCTGACCACCGCAAACCGCTACTCCTACCACCCCCTTGATCCAATAGGAAATGACCCCTGCTCTCCACCCCAAAGCGAACATGTAGCCAGATATGCCAGGACCCAACGCGATTAGTCGGAAGTGATCTAGAGGAGGAGGAAGAGGAGGAGCAGGAGGAGGAGGAGGAGGAGGAGGAGTAAAAGGGAGGAGGAGGAGGAGGAGGAAGAGAGAGATGAAAAGGAGCAGAGCAGAGAATAGATGAGGGTGACGAGTGTTAAACCTCGAAGGATTCATCACTGAGATGACCGATTCTGCGCTTGATGCCTCGCTGGCAAAGAGAAAGTTGCTGGAGGACAAGCGCCGGCATGCTCGAGAGGACATTCTCAGGAATGAGTGGGGAGAAGATCTCAATCTTGTGGACGATGCCAAGACTAAAGCGAAGCAAGGAGCGAGAGGTACGCAGAAGCTGAGGCATGTTGCTTCACGACACGACAGCTCTCACTCCCTGTTTGCATGGACCATTCCTTACAGAAAGCACAGTGGAGGTCAGGCAAGCACAGTTGCGTCCTCTGCTTCAGAACTGGACTGTGAGCTAGTGAGCAATGAAGAGGCGAGGATAACCTGCGTGTCGTTCGCTGGGCATGCTCCTGCTGTCGTACTGGGCGACGAGAACGGTTTCCTTTGCTTGTGGCGATGGATCAGAGGCAAGTGGCGAGGGGGAAAGAAGACGAGAGCGCATGATAGTGCTGTGATGGCGTTGGACTGCGTGCTGGTTGATGTCATGCGGCCATTAACGCTCCTCTTCTCCTCCTCTCGTTCCTCCGCCGTCAAAGTTTGGAGGCTGACAGGGGAGGATGAACTGGTGATGAGTGCGTGTGTGGAGACGAGACTTTCCTCTCCGTCTCTGTGCAGAAGCTTCCTCTTGTCCAGGAGAGAAGGCGAGGAGGTGCGGGTGGTCTTGGCTGTTTCTTCCCGTGCCGGCGAGACCAAGCTCTTCCTGTCTACTGCTGCCCAAGAGGACACGTCGAATGTGGCCGACGATTCAACGATGACGGAAAGATTGCAGGAAGGAGGAGGAGGAGGGCTGAAGTGGTGGAGGGAGATGGGAGAGTTGCAAGGACACAAGTCGAAGATTGTCTTCTTGGATATCTTCTACTTTCATCAGTATCACGACAACAAGCGCAACATCAGCAGCAGCATCAAGTACACCAGCACCGACAACAAGAGTAATAAGGGCATCATCACCGCATCTCTCGATGGGAAAGTGAGGATCTGGTCGTTGACGGTGAGTGAAGACTCACTCCTAGAGTATCGATGGGACTGTCTGTCCTGTCTTGACGGAATTGTCAACACGAGCATGCAACCTCAGCCGTTCTGCACGTCGGAAGTTCTTCCTGGCGTTCTTGTGGCAGGAGAAAGATCGCACGTACAAGTGTGGGGCCTGAAACTGGCGCAGGAAGGGGACAAAGGCTTAACGGTGTCGATGAAGAAGCTTGACGAGAAGCAGGAGCACGTCTCCGACGTCTCTGGTCTTGCTGCTCGGACTGACGGCTTTCTCATACTGTCGAGCGACAACCATGGCAGTGTCGTTGTGTGGATGTGGGAAAAGGAGGAGGGGGAGGAGGAGGAAGAAGAGAAGGTTCAGCTTGTGGCTGTTAGGAAGATGCAGGTTTGCTCTGGGTCAATCTCCGCCTTGAAGTTCAACCGGGTGTTGTCAATGGTGTCGAGACTCGTGCTTGTTTGTAACGACAAGCTAGTCAAGGTCTTGGACACGCGACGGGTAATGCCTTGTATGGGTGTTGCTGCCTCAAGCGTCGTTGACCTGATGGTTTGCAGGTTGTGGAGGTGAACGAACATACTCCACTATTCCTCGTCGACGTCTGGTACCCTGAGATTGAATCTTCGCGGGCTCTCAGGGCTGCAAAGAAAGATGTGAGTTATTGTGGATAAGAAAGAGGTCCTGTCGAGACATCAAGACACCAAATTCATTGCAGAGACGTACATGTTTGTCGTTGCCTTGTATCTTGTTCTAGAATTGTTGTTTGTTGTTCGCTGACTTTCATCTTGACTGTGATTGTCAGGCCCGCTACGTGCAAGGAAGATGGAATAAAGATGCTCATGTGGATGAGAAGAAAAGGTTTTACTCGATGAGAGAAAACTTTTCAATTGCACTAGATTCGGTAAGATATCGCCCTGCTCCATTGCAATTCTTGATTCGACCCTTCTGCTTTCCTTTCACGTCATGGTCATCATCTGAAACTACTACTACTACTACTACTACTACTACTACTACGAACAACACTATCTTCACTCAACATTTCTGCAGGATCTCAACCTTCTGTTTGCAACTGTTGATGTTCCTGATGGAGCTATTCGCATGTGGTACCATAACTTCAAGAAGAACAAGATCAAATACTCCCAAGATGTATGTCTCTTCTTCTTCTTCTGCTGCTGCTGCTGCTGCCGATGGTGATGGTGATGGTGATGGTGATGGTGATGGTGATGGTGATGGTGATGATAATTGAACAAGCTGTCTGTTCCTCAGTCTTCAGTCTGCTGCATGACCGTCGCCAAGACGTCGAGGAACATTTTCCTTGTGATCGGTACAATTGACGGGACAATCAAGTTGGTCGACACGTCGTCCACGTCACCGGCGATGAACATGAGAGGAGTCAACCTGAAGAGAGCGGGGGCAGGCAGGGCACATGACGCCAAGATAACGACCCTCCAGGTAAGGGAGAGTAGAGGAAAGGAGACGAGACGAGTGGAGAGGTGGAGGGAAGGAGAGGACAGGAGAGGAGAGGAGAGGAGAAGAGAAGAGAGAAGGAGAGGAGGGGAGGGAAGGGGAGGAGAAGACGTAAGCATGGAGGTGTGTTGATACGAGCATGTGCGCAAGGCGTCACAAGATCAGCCTCTGCTTCTCTCTGCGTCTCTCGACGGGAACATCATCCTATGGGACCTTGACAGTCAGCTGTTAAGACTTCACTTCACCTTCCACCAGGACATCCGCCTCGCCTCCTTCTCCTCCTCCTCTCTCTACTGCGCCTTTTCTTCTTCTCCTCCTGCTGACGGTGTGACGACCCTCCTAATTTTTCCAGATCTCCATCTTTCTCTTTCACCACCTCCCTCTTGAATATCCTCTCTCTCTTTCTTTTCCTGACTCTCTCACCTCCTCCTTCCCTTCCTCTCTCACTGTCTTTCACAGAACATGTCTTGCATGTCGAGAAGATCCACGTGTACAACCTCAAGCATGGAACACAAGTAAGTGCGTCCACAACCTGTTGGTCCAGTTTCTCCACTCTCTCTCTCTCTGCTGTTCTTCTCTCACGCAGTTTCACCTGGCAGGTTTGCTCGCCCCTAACAAGACACGCCTCTCGTGTCTCCTGCCTCTCGTTGGATCCTCGCGCTGGTCGCTCTCTCGCCTCCTGCGCTGTTGGCGATCACGCCGTCACTGTCGTGCACCTTGAGGGCATGGACGAGGATGGTCGCGACCTGCCGGACGTGCAACTGGAGGGTCACGAGCAAGACGTTACTCAGGTCACATGAAGATTCCACGATAGACAGAGATGACGTCTGAGATGATGTCTGACATGATGATGATGTCTGAGATCATGGAGGAGGAGTAGGATCCCTGGTGGACGAGGGGAGGAGAGGAGGAGGAGGAGAGGGGAGGTGTTGGAGGTGATATACGTTGCTCAGATCCTTCATGATTGCACTGGCTGCCTCTTGTTCAGCTCTAGTCTAGACGGGGATGTACGAATGTGGGACCCGCGCACGGGAGTGTGTCTAGCGGTAAAGTTTGGAGCGTTGCGAGCTCTTCTCACGTCCTGCAGGTCCTGCGGGGGAAGGGACAAGCTGTCTTTAATGTCGCACTCAGCCTTGCGAGGTTTGTTGGGGGGTTGAAGAAGCCGGGATAATGTTACGATGATGATGATGATGATGATGACGACGACGACGACGACGACGATGATGATGATGATGATGAGGAGGAGGAGGAGGAAGGGGGGGGGCAGTGACTTTGATGATGATGGATGCATTGACTTGTCGGTTCGCAGAGGATCTTCAACATCTTCATCGTCTCATCGGATGCTGGCTGCAGGTAAACTTCTCACCTCCTCCCTCGGGCATTTGTGAGCGTTTGCGGAGATGATAAGGGGACAAGAGGAGAGGGAGGAGGCTGAAAACATGCCAGTTGCGTCCTCCGGAGAGATCAATGTCTGGGATGTGGAGAAGAGAGCATGTTACGCTGTTTGCACGCTGAAAGATTTTTTGACGAAGCAGGTCAGTGATGTTTGGGAAGAGGGAGAGGGGAGGAGAGGCAAGTTGTGATATCAAGCAGATGGAGGGAAGGAGATCGAAGCTTTGCAACGATCTCCTCGGTCATGCTTGGTATGACGAGCACGGACAAGTTACCTCCTCTCCCCCTCACGGCTTGGACTCTCCTACCTCCTCTGCTGTGGCCGCATGGATGCCCTACAGCCATGGTAGAAGGCTTGCTTCTCTGCTCTTGCGCGTCAGCTTGAGCGATCCGCTGGTGGAGTGGGAGCGAGGGCGGCATAGGAGGAAGTTGATGATACAGAAGAGGAAGGTGGAGCAGGAGCAGGAGCAGGCGAGGCTTCCCAAGTCAAAGCAGAAGCTGATGCGTTTCAAGGGGAGGAGGAAGGAGGAGGAGGAGGCCGCGCTGTTGGATCCTCTCTCATTGGAGCAGAGCGTGAAACAACGGCAGCAGGCGGTTGTCCACCTCCTCTCGCATCTCCGACTCTCCTCCCCTGGTCACCTGGGAGCTAAAGTCGCACTGGTTCGCCTGCTACAGGCTGAGGACGAGACGCTGCGATCGTTGGGCGCGTTGGGTCTGGGCCTGCTGGGTAACAAGACGGAGGAAGAAGAGCTGAGAAAGAGGTTCGAGCAGTGGCTCTCTGATGCGAGACGAGGGAGCGGAGGGGGAGAGGAGGAGGAGGAGGAGGAGCATGGGGGAGGGTTGGCTACTAAACAGGGGGAAGGAGATGATTCAGCTGCGAGGAGGAAAGAACAGCTGCTTGCATACTGGCAGAAATGTGACGGGGAGACGAAGAAACTTGGTGAAGAGGAAAACAAGTGCGAGGAGAGCTACAAGAAAATAATCGAGACGAGCAAGGCAAAGCACGAGATAGAAACATTGCTGTCGGACCGTGCAGATGCAGGAGGAGGAGGAAGAGGAGGAGGAGATTTTACACAGGAGAGTCTAAGGGTGGAGCAGCACAAGAAGATGATGATGATGGAAGAGACGTTGGCAGAACTGGACGCGCAGCTCCTGCAACTTCTCTCCTCCTACCTCGAGTTGCAACGTCAGCATTCGGCTCTCGTCGACGAGGCAGCCATCCGTTGCATCGCCCTCATGCTCCAAGACAAGTCGCCTGCCGTCGTCAAGTGCGCCATCTGCTCCCTCGGCTTTCTCTGCCCGCCAGGGATCCCCTCCATCATCCGTCTTGTCCTCCCCTCGCTCTCCCATCCCCATGATGAGATTCGTGATTTTGCGGCGTTGTGCATCGGGAACCTTTCAAGAGGAGCGAGCGACAGCCTCGTCCTCCTGCTGCATGTCGTTGAGGCTCCGAACGTTAGCAAGGACGCCATCCTCTCCGCGTTGAAAGCTGCAACGTTTGTGCTCAGGTGATGCACCCAGATGAAAGTAAGGCGAAGAGGAGGAGGAGACGAGGAGACGAGGATGAGGACGAGGAGGACGAGGAGGACGAGGAGGACGAGGAGGACGAATACCTCGACTGACTTTCCATCAAGCAGAAATCGATCGGAGGGTCTGGTAGAACAACGAGATCGACTTGACCGTCTCTTTCTATTTCTCCAGCACCCGGACAAGCAGATCAGAGAAGCGGCACGGACATTGAGCGGTTGTATAGCACGAGAAGATGATCGAGGTCCTCCTTCCCATCCTGCCCTTCTCCTCTCCCTCCTCCTTCCCCTCCTCTCCTCTCTCCTCCCTCTCTCCTCCTTCCCTCCTTCCTCCCTCCCCCCTCCTCTCCCTCTTCGCCTCCCTCCCCCCTCCTCTCCCTCTTCTCCTTATAGTTCTGGTTTGCTCATCCTCTGTCTCAGAGTTCCTTTTCTGCCCTGAGGTCATCGACCGTCATCCTCCTTTCGCGCCTGTGAGTTTTCCTTGCGTCCCTTCAGTGTCTGCGTCAATGGTCGTGTTGATTCAGATCAAACTGCTCTCTCCCCCAGCCTCTCTCATTCCTCCTCAGGGCTTCGATGTCCCATGCATCAAGACCGCCTATGAAGAAGAGTTTGAACGAGGTCAGGCACCAGTCTCCTGTCATCTTCACCTCTGTTCTCTCCCTCTCCTCTCTTCCACCGACGGTCTTTGCGCTCTTCTCAAAGTCTCTCAGGACGTGCCTTATCCAAACTCGCTCGAGGACCAGCCCCCTACTCGCAGTACGTCGCCACTCGCATCCCTCCCAGCACCAATCCAGGTGACGCGCACCTCTCTCCCTCTCTTCCTCACTCGCACGACTTCTTCCCCAACCGCTGCTCAGGAGCTGACTCGACTAGGCAACAAGCGGTGCATCATCTGGCCCACTGAGAGTCTGAGGACAAGCGGATGAGGTGAAAGACCAAATGAGAGGGTGAGGAGGAGAAGAAGAAAGGAAGCCAGAGAGCGAGAGTTTGTGATTTGTCAGTGCTCAATATACATCAGATGACCACAAAGCGAGCAGGCGGAAAGATGACAAAGAGCGAAAGCTGCACGTAGCGAGGTTAGAGCAGAAAGCAGACCAACGGAAGAGAAGAGAGGACAAGACGTAGCAGGAGCAGGAGAACGAGAGGCGAGTTGAGTATGAGGAGCGAAGAGATGAGGAGCATAGACGAGAGGGAAGTAAGGGGGAGAGAAGGAGACGCGAAGGAACCATAAGATCGCTACCTGCATGAGAGAAAAGAATATTCCGAGCAAGTTTGGCAGTTGGACAAACCAATCGTCGATGATAACTCCTGAGAAACCCTTACACTTGAGCCGACCAGAGAATAAGGTCACCGTAAAAGTACCAGGACAAACTGCTGAAGAAGTTCATCAAGGCTAAGAGGAAGGGAACTGGGACAGGCAGACGTTAGCAAATTGAGAAGGAACGTGAGGGGAGATGAGAAGAAAGGAAGAGAAGAAGAGACGACCACACTACAAGAAAGCAGATCATGCGACCCCCATGATAAGACAACCAGGAGGAACAAGAGCTTACCACTCTCAGCACTTCGGCTCTCGAACACAACCCGCACGGTAGCGAGCGGAGCGACGAAACAAGCGATGGAAATGAAATTCTGAGCAGCTCCAAGGAAATATCTGCCCTTCGACTCCTCCATGTTCGACGCCTGGTAACAGGCCCCGAGCAGCGTGACGAGAGAAAGAAAGATCTCCACGAGCAGCCTCATTCTGCCATGATAATACCGCTGGTACGCAAACAGATAGGCTGCCGTCACCGTCACCCCGAAGCTGTTGAGCATCATCACGAAGGTGTCGCGAATGAGGAACCCGTAGAAGGTGGAGAGACAAGAGTTGATGAAGTTGGTCAAGTACGGCAGGTAGCTGAAGTGCCCTGTGTTGTTCTGCCTTGCGATCCTCCTGATGACGGGGTAGGGGCTCAGATACTGCGCGATGGTTGCAATCAGCGCAACGATCTGCACGGGGAAGAGAGCGAAGTGAAGGGGAGAGGGAGTGTCGATGACGACGTGACCCGCTGCTGTGATGGGGGGCATGAGGGTCCAACCAACTCCCTCCAACTTTCACTTCCCTGGCCAGCCGCGCCACGTGGGAGAGAGCATGCAGCAAGCACCCGCTTGGTCGATCACGACTAGTCCATGCCGTAATGTTGGATATCGCGGAGATGTAACACCTGCCTGCACACGTGCACATTAAATCGCTACAAGCAACTGAAAATTTCCATTGTACTGCCCCCTAATCTCCCTCCCTCCATATGTTTTCCCTAGCATCACCCTCTCCAGGCAGCAGAAACCCCTTCTTCAAATCATTCTCTTCGATCCTTCATCTATCCTTATCACGGTATGTCATCTATCTGAATATCCTGCTTCTTGTCTGAGCTCCTCGGCTTCATACCTCACACATCATATCGCAGAGCAGAGCTGATTCTTTCTTCGCAAGTGACTGACACTAGATCATGGTGAGCCTCTTCTGCAACTCAAAGGGACATTGTGTGCAAGTGTCTCTTCATACCGTTCAACGTATCTGCATGGTTCCCCACCGCTGCCTCTTGTCTTTCTCTCCTCCTCTTCCCTCTCTTCCCCTTCTCCCTCCCAAGCCTTCATTTCACAGCATCGCGACGCCTGCTACCCTACCCAACTTACCGAAACTACCCCTACCACCCCTTGGATACACTACCCCACGTTCTAAGGCAAATATTCGGGCTGCTCTACCTCACAATTTTCCTTAGAGTACCCCCGTCGTTCCTGATAGTACCCCTCATCGTTCCACCACCCACCCCTCAAAAATGACCATATACACTTGTACCCAATCAGGGTATGAGCAAGGGGTGCAAAATTCACCCCCACCCCTTTTATGACAGAGAAAAACAGGGGTAGTATTCCACAACGGTATCGTGAGCATGCCCCGACAATGTACACCCACCCCTCCGTCTCCCTCTCAACTGGGTGAAGGGGGTAGGGGTCATCGGACGGGGTCATATCGTGTGCAGGTGTAACCGATGGAGTTATGGCGAGACGAGGGAGCGAGCGATGGAGATGGGGAGAGGAGACGCTGCTAGTGGAAGCAAAGCAGATGCGCCATCTCAGTCGTGCAGGTGCTTCGTCTCTCTGCTATCGTCATCCAAACTTGATAAGCGATAGAACTGTGCGATAAAAACGTTGGCTCCTGAGCTAAAAAAATGAAGGAAGCTGAAACAGAATGGATACGAGAGCATCTTCCCTTATCGGAGGAGGATAGAAAAACTGTCATGGTAACATTGGAAGCGTTGAAGGGCAATGGAGGAGGTCTGTCAGGCTGCATGAAGGTTGTAAATGTATGCTGGCCTAATGACAAGGCCTTGACATTCGTGATAAAGAATACTTCAGACAACGGATTCGCACAGAGTAAAACCTTGGGCCTGTATCGAGAGGCGCTGTTTTATCAAAAATTTGCAAATGAATTCCAAAAGGCGTCTATTCCCCTGGTGAAAGTATATTATGCTAAGGGCGATGCAGATACGGGAGAACGAACCCTGATGATGGAAGATCTGAGAGAAAAGTCGGTGCTCAGCGGTTACTTCTTTGGGAGTGGTTCTCCTTTGAATTGGGGAAGAGACTTGAGCGAACATTTAAAACGACTTCCCTCCCCTCTCACCGCATTTGATGTAGCTAAGCGTACCTTCCAAGAGGCTGCCAAGATGCATCGTCGGTATTGGTTGGATCCGTCGCTGCTCCAGCATGATTGGTTGCGAGGACGAGACTGGATTCAAGGACGAAACCAGGAGAGCTGGGAGATGGCACAAAGGCAAGGGAAAGAATCATGGATGCGAACTCAAAAACGAATTGCAGAGAGTAACTGCCAAGTGGAATGGGATCAAAACCTCTTCGATTGCATGTCTGCTGCCATGAACAGTGTGGACTGGAAAAAGTTTCAGAGCATCTCGGGGAACCGACCATGGACGCTTGTGCATGGAGATTTTCATCCTGGGAACATCATGTGGGTATTCGAACCTCAGGGATATCCGTTGATGTTGGATTGGGAGATGGTAGGGTTGGGTAATGGTGCGCAGGACCTGAGTCAGTATTTGATCTCTCATGCGAATCCAGACTTGCGAAGGGAGATCGAAGAGGACTTGTTAAGATTGTACTATGACGTGTTGGTGGATCAGACCCTCCCTGGGAATCCAGAGCTGTCGCCGGGTACGTACTCATATGATCAGTGCAAGCATGACTACGTTGAAGGAGGAGCGAGACGGTGGATTTGGTTGCTTGCAATTCTGTGTGAAATGTGCCCTGACTCAATGAATCAATACTTTGCCGATCAAACTGCAGCTTTCCTACGAGATCATGGGCTGCACAAAGGCAATATTGGAATGCCACAAGTTTGAATGATTCTTGACTTTCTCCGATTATGAATACATTACTAAGTTACTACTACAAGTTACTTCTTGTCTATCAAGCGGCTAGATTCCGTTTGCCAACTTGGCAAAGTCATCGGGGGTGGGGGGAGGGGGGGAGGGGGGAGGGGGGGAGGGGGGGCCGTTGCAGAATGTGGGATGTAACGGCGAAGAAGGTAGTAACAAGACTAGACCACCGGTAGGAAGGTGGTTGCAAGAGGGGTGGTGGTCAGCCGACAGCCGTTAAGTTCCGTGGTGAAGATGGCGGGAGCAGGAGGCTGAGGAAGGAAGCAGAGGGGAAAAGGGAATGGCTGAGAGCAGAGCAAGTTGAGCGACAAGACGTGATCACAAAGATGTATTGAGCATCTACAAGTGAGCATGAATCTTGGGCATGCAAGAACTAACAAGAAAAGTTTGCAAAGTTGATAGCGGAAATTCAAAAAAAAACACCAGGGAAGTAGAAGAGGCAATGATTTTCAAGCATCAACGTCTCCATCACTAGTCAGTTGAGACCTCGCCATGACCAGTGAGGAGGGAATCGCTTTTCTCCCTGAGGTGAGGGATGCGCTTCTGCAGCGCGTGGGAACTCCTTCAGGGCTGATAAAATCTTTAAACCCCAACATGTACAGTAAAGGTTCGTTGATGCCAGATTGGACCCAATCGCGTACAGTCAACGTGGAGCATCGTCTTGGCCGGACATATCCCATGGCTGAGCTCAATGTCAAAGACTTCGTTCGCCTCCCCCGGTTGTCCACAAGGACTAGTCGCATTCTCGACCCTTCAGATGCTGCCAGCAGATCCGGGTCGCCGCTTGATGGGGGGGCGAGGAGAGAAGCTCTGCTGCGCTTCCAAGCGAAACAGTCGGACATCAAGCCTCTGCAAGTCGCACTTGCCAACCCCTACACGCAGAAGATGAAGCGACTGAGCACGAGGAGCGAATCGAGGGAAAGTGCTCTGTCCAGCCAGAGCACGAGGAGAGAAGAGGCGAGGGTCGAGGTTGCCATCGAGAACGAGGGAATCTTTGTGTGTGAGCTCGACCGTGAAGCAATGGACGGCTCTCTGCAGAGGTGCATCGCGGGAGAGCTCTACTCCTTCGGGGTGTCGCTCAAGTATGGTTACGGTAACGCCAAGGTGGGGACAGACATCGACCGGGAGATGATGGAGCAGTGGCTCGTGAAGCAGGGGGGGATCAACGCCTTCTTGACCGGCCCTAAAGAGATCAGCTGCACGTGTACCCACGTCGCTCAAGGGGCCTACGCGTTCACCTTCAGCTCCTCGCTTGTTGGTCAGTATCAGCTGTGGATCTTCGTGGGCAAGTCGTCCGTGGGTGGCAGCCCTTTCCCTGTCCGGATACTTCCTGGGCCAGCCAAGGGAAGGAGCTGTCACGTGACGGGCCTGGGGCTGTGGTCGGCTAAGGTTGGCATGGAAGCTTCCTTCGAGTGGGCGGCGAAAGACAGCTACGGGAACAAGGTGGAGCAGGGAGGCGATCCCTTCCTCGTGGCCGTCTTGGGCCCAGATGAGATCCCAGTTGAAGTGATCGACCACAAGGATGGAAGCTACAGGGCTGCCTACACTCCCACCATTGCCGGGCAGTATCGCATCTCCATCACTCTACACAAGGAGCACTTGGCAGGCAGCCCGTTCCTAGTGTCTGTACACGAAGCGACGGCAGACGCGAGCATGTCGACTGTGAGCGGGGATGGTCTCGAAGATTGTCACGTGGGGAGGACAGGCATTTCCTCATCGAGGCGCTGGACAGGTACGGAAACCGAGTGATGCACGGGGACGACAAGTTCGTGGCTGACCTGGAGGGGCCGGGGGCCGAGAAAGTTCACCTCATCGACATGGACGATGGGACGTACGCGGGCATGTACATGTGCCGATGGAGCGGAGACTTCAAGCTTCACGTGCTGCTGGACGGCACGCCGGTCGCTGAGAGTCCCTTCGACATCCACGTGCGTCCGGGCCCGACCTACCCTCCCAACTGCGAGTGCACACTAGTGAAGCTCCCGATGACTCGCCTCCTCTCCGTTGCCGGAACTCTCTGCTCCTTCACCATCTTCGCCAAGGACAGATTCGGAAACAGGAGGGAGGAAGGTGGCGACGACTTCGCGGTGCGATGCAGGAGCCCAACAGACACAGTGAACGCGGTGATCAAGGACAACAAGGATGGGTCGTATGTGACGGAGTTTCGATGCTTCAAGGAAGGGGATTACTTCATCGAAGTGAAGCTGGGCAAGATAGACATCCAAGGCAGCCCCTTCGTCTTGACTGTTGATCCTTCCAGCACTTTTGCGATGGAGTCCATGGCCGAGGGCATTGAGAATGAGTTCGGTAACGGCCTCAAGATAGCGCAAGCAGGACGACCTGTCCAGTTTCGAATCCACGCGAGAGATGAGTTCGGCAATGTGGTGCGAAAGCCGGGAGACGACTTCCAGGTGCGCATCCTCGAGGTGCAGGAAGGCATCCGAGTGCGAGCCAAGGTGATGGACAACGGGAACGGGACGTACGAGGTGACGTGGACGGGGATGATCAGAGGCGAGTACGACATCCACGTGGCCCTCAAAGACGAGCCGATCAAGGGCAGCCCCTGGAAGGCCGTCGTTCGCACTGGCAACGCCTCCGCCGAAAAATGCACGGCGGAGGGATCAGGGCTGGGAGGAAGCAGCGCAGGAGTACCGAACTCAATCCTCGTGGAGTCAAACGATCACTTTGGCAACATCGTGACCAACGGGGGGGCGAAGGTGGAAGGAGTTCTCGTGTCCCTCGATGGATCCCTCAGCATCGCCTGCGAGGTTGCTGATCACGAGGACGGCACTTACACTGTGACCTATGCCGCCAAGCGCAGCTCCGAGTACTTCCTAGCTGTGCGGGTCGACGGGGAGCACATCCATGAAAGCCCCTTCCTCATCTTCGTGGACCACACAGTCACCGACGCGTCTCAGTGCATGGCAGAAGGAAAGCACGAGCATGGCGATGGCTTGAAATATTGCTCGGTGGGCGATGAAACTGGCTTTCAGATTTTTGCATTCGACACGTTCGGAAACAGGTGCACAGTTGGAGGAGACAGCTTCTATGCTGTTCTCAAAGGAGAGAAGGACGTCAATGTTGAGATCCTCGACCATCAGGACGGGCACTACACCTGCTCCTACACCGCCTTGTGGTCAGGCCAATACCAGTTGCATGTGACATTGAACGGGCAGGACATCCAGGGAAGCCCGTGGGGGATCGAGGCGATAGGAGCTGAGATCCACCCGCCCTCATGCTACATCCATGGCCCGGGGATCTACGCGACGGTCGCAGGCAAGGAGGCAGACTTGCACGTGCAGGCCAAGGACAAGTACGAGAACATCCGCCAGGAGGAGGACCCGATCGAAGTTCACATCTCCGGACCTGAGAAGGTCACGATCCTACGAAGATACCTGGGTGAGGGCCAGTACGACTTCTTCTGGACCGCCAACTCCACTGGGGTGTATGAGGTAGACATCAGCTGCCATGGTGAGTCTCTTGGTACGGCTCCTTACTCGGTTAACGTCGGGCCCGGGCCCATCCACCCGCTCAACTGCATCGCCACCGGCGACGGGCTGCACTCGGGGATGGCAGGGATACCCAACATCTTTGTGATCAACTCCAAGGACATGTTCGGCAACGCGAGGACGCATGGGGGAGACAAATACTCTCTCTCCATCTCAGGCCCCACAGTGTGCGAGGCCAAAGTTCGGGACCAGGAGAACGGCAGGTACACAGTGACATGGTCGACGCTGATCAAGGGGTCCTACTGGATTCAAATCACTCTCAACGGAGAGGAAATCTCCGGAAGCCCTTACCTCTGCGAGATTTCTCCCTCCTACGTGGACGTCGAGGCCTCGCAGGCGTCAGGAATGGGCTTGCTGTCCGTCGCCACCTTCAAGGACTCCTCCTTCACCATCCACAGCTACGACAAGTACGGCAACCATCTGGACAAGGGCGGCGACAGCTGGGAAGTGTCGATCGTCGGGGTCGAGGTCCCTGAGGTTTCGATCCAAGACAACGACGACGGGACGTACCTGGTGAGGTATCAGTCGACGGTCAAGGGTGTCCTGCAAGTATATGTGGGAATGAAGGGGAGAGAGCTGGTGGACAGCCCGTTCGAGGTGTACTCGGACTCCAAGGTGAGGAGGAAGCTGGCGCAGGAGAAGGCTGCCAAGCTTGCATCCAAGCAATCGGAGGCAGAGAAGCGAAGAGACTCTTCGGTCGCCATCATGAATGAACAGGTGAAGAAAGTTGGGAAGAAGAAGGAGAGTGACGAGGAAGAGTCGACACTGCCGACAAGGGGGATGAAGATTCTTGGTTAATCGTTGCAGCCATGAAGACGGCGGTCCTCTTTTCCCGGAACGCCATTTATTCCGGCGGATGCTTATCCCTAAATCGTAAGAAATCTGTAAACGCAAAAAGAGACTGCGAAAGAGACTCCAGTGGCTGTCATTCCGGGTTGAAACATCATTCAACGACCAGCCTTCGAGGCTCGCATTTCTAAAGTCTCTGCAAGATCCTTGAGAGGACAACACAACAATAAGAATACGCCCAAGAATTCATCTACAATGTGAACAACAACTGGAAATCTACAAGGGCAGACGCGTTAACTGCACAAGGGTCAGTGAGCAGAGGAGGAGCGCAGTGATTCCTTCACCTGTAGGCTCATCTTCAATCGAAGCCGTTCTCTTAGCGTACCACCCAATCGCTACTCCAGCAGCAATGGCAAGAGTTCCGTACGTGTAGGCCGCTGCCTCAAGCCCGAACAGATGCACAGACGATCCCAGCACAGCAGGACCGAGGAAGGCGCCGAGGTTGTGAGAAACGAAGGCAAGCTGCACCAGAGTCAGAAAGGGAGGGAGCGAGGACTGACCTCACCTGCTGCAGAGCTGGTGAGCGAGCATCTCCCTGCCCTACGCTGTCCACCATCCTCAAGAACACACCCGTGTAGACAACACTCGCGCTGCATCCCAACAGCATGACCGGAACAACCTCAACCGCCAAGGACTCCGGGCTGAAGAGCGCGAGGAACGCGACACCGTTGCAAGCTAATCCAGCACCCACCAACATATTTCTGTTGATCTTCTCCGAGACTAGAGCCGCCACGTTGGCCACGAAGATGAAGGCGATGGCCGCGATCATCATGAGGCCTCCCAGAGCTGAAGCAGAGGTGGCAAAGGCGACATTGAGATGGAGAGGAAGGATGACTTCACTGAACGCAACGGTGGAAGAGATGAGCAGGAGAGACACGAGCGAGAGAAGAGTCTGCGGGTCCTTCACGTGCGGGGTCAACGGCTCCATCTTGGTGAACTCAGCATCGTTGTCCCTTAGGTACATCATGACCAAAGAGAAGACGCCAGCGAGAGTCAGACCAGCGAGCAAGCAAGGAATAAAAGCTCCATCCGAGGACAATGAGCCGCCGATGAGAGGGCCCATCGTCAGGCCGAACCCGCCGCAGAAGTAGACCATGACAAACCTGTTGCCGCGCTCGGACGAGGGATAGAGCGAGTCTAACATAGCGATGCTCCCTGATTGCAAGAAAGTGCTTCCAACTCCTCCGATCGTTCGACTCAGAAATAGAATGGGGAACGAGGAGCCAGCCATGAACATGATGCAGTTGAAGAAAAACACCACCTGCGCTGTCGCGATCATCATCCAGCACTTCACATGCCCAGCGAGGAAGATCGTAAGAGGAGTTCCCATTGCAGCTCCAAAGCTGTAGCTAGCGAACAGAAGCGCAACCTCAGCAGTAGAAAAGTAGGCTCCTGTTATCAAGTGGTAGGAGGGAACAAGAGGGATAAGGTATGTGTACAAAAACCCTGAAAGAAAAATCGTGACACAGATGACTATGAAGGCGACCTTCCTCTCCTTATCCTCCACCTGCATTATATCGATTAGTCTCCAAAGCATCATTCGCATCATGAAATCACATTCGCGTTGAATGCTCCAGCAGCAAGGTTTCCTGCCCTCAACAGGAAAGAAGCCTCCGCCTTCTGCTCACTGTCTGGTTCCATCTTGGCACGAGTATAGAAGGCAGAGGGGGATCAAGGGAATGAATGTAGCCCTAACGCCACTCCTGCAGGAACAATCAAATTCATTTCAATACAGAAAACTTAGAGGATAACAACATCTCTTTGCGTTTTCATGTCAGGGATTACAACAACAAGATAAAATTTGTCATGTGCAATATCACCGAAACACCTGCATTTAGATTACCGCAATCTTGTTGATTCTGGCATCATTGATTTCGAACAATGTCTCTTTGTATGCACACAGATATCAAGAAGAAAAGCATCATGCCATGCTTCGATTCCTCCCTTGTTCCCTCCAGTGTAGTTCGATTGCCTTCTGAACTCTCAATTACCACCCTCGTCCTTCCCTTCAAACTAGTGCACTTGCTACTAAAAGTAGTGTGTGGCACTCTTCTCTTACACGGTCTGCCGTCGCTAGCCTTCTCCTCTCTCTTCCTCTCTCTTCTCCTCGCCTTCTATTCCTCCCCTTGTTGCCCTCCATTGACACGACAGCGTCTCGACCTCGGTACCAAAAGAGGATCACCCTACCCCCACCCTCACATTTGCCACCCCACTTCAGAAAAAGTCCCACCCCTCGATTATCTATGAGTACCCGGTACCTTTACCACCCTCGTGAACTCCTTACTACCCCACGAAAAGGGGATACTCCCTTGCACACCCCCTTTGAGATCACCCCTACCCTATCCTTTGATCAACACCCAACCCCTTTTGCGTAGTACAAATGTTGGAGGAACGAGCTGAACAAATGTGAAATTTTACCTCTTGATTTGAATATTTTATTGTTATCTTGAATAATTTTTTTCGAATTGACGCAACCATATTCGGATTTAGAACCCACCCAACTGATAGCTTTCATTTTGATTGTGACGTGGGTGGGGTGGGGACTACTGATTTGCAAGGGTCTAGAATTGAAGGATTTGAAGGGGGTAGTTGTCAGTCATACAAAGGGTAGGGGTAGTGGCAAAGGGGAGGATCACCTAAAGGTAGGGGTGAGGAATTTCCCATAATTTTCTTCCTGATTTAGAAATAGTGGTCATGTGTGGGGATGTGGCTCCCGGTCAACACACGGTCAGTGATCGGACGGCCGCGCGGCCCGGCCGCCCGGCGCCGGGCGACCCGGCCGCCCGGCGCCGGGCGACCCGGCCGCCGCGTCGGACAGACGGTCGCGCCCGCCGGAACGGGAAACTTCCCGGAGTCCCGGCCGCGCACGCGCGTCCACGAGACCTTCGGCGGCCGCCGAACCAGCTGAACGCCCGCTGTCAGTACCGTACTGACAGCGGGCGGCCCAAGCGCGAAGCCGCGCAGACAAGCAGCCTAAGGGTCAAGCAATCAAGCAACAAGCAGCAGGAGCATGCAGGAGGGGTAGGAGGCGAACAAACGGAGATGCTCGCAAGAGGGCAAGCGAGCGCCTTCAGTGATGCTCCCATCAAAGTAGTCGCGACTCGCACGTCCCTCGATTGCATCGAAGAGAGCCTGGCGGTCGAGGGAGTTGAAGGCGTTCTTTGCATCCAAACTCACCAGCACTGTGGGGTGGGCAACATCCTCATCATCACCGCGAGCGTGAAGGGGCAGGAGCGCTGACGCGGTTTGCGAGAACTTCAGGCAGTCGTCACGAGTCTCGATCGAGTCCGAACTGAATCGCTCGAGGGTGAGACGAGAGGACACACAACGAAGATTTACTGGCAGAAGGTAAAAAGTGCCTGGAGTGTCGGATACAAAACAAAGCATGAACAAGCTAAACCTGCCTGCACACAGCGCACAGCGAGAAGCTGCACAAACACACACAAAACACAAGCCCGAAAGAACCAGCACTGCTGAGGAAGTGCTGGTCAAGAAATGTGCGAATCCGGGGAATAAATCTGCCTCCTCGACGAATGGCTGACAGGGCAGGAATAAGAAGATCCGGCATCCGGCCAAGAAGGACCCCTTGGAGGATATGTTTGCAGTAGAGCTTCAAAGCTGTACTTCGTTCATAATGCTGGAGCGATCCTCTACCGTCGTGTGAGGGCTCCTGGCCTTCCCGCATCGCTATGCTCAGACCACTCAAGGGCGCTCTTGTCTGGTGCGAGGCGCATGACGCCCTTGCGGGCGCAAGCACTTCTCGAGCCAGAGGACAGCTCCTCCTCGGACTTTGTCGAGTCGCCCGAGGAGGAGACTTCGCCGGAGGTCTCCGACTCCGATGGGGGAAACATCCAGAGTGGAGCCGACGATCGGCGCGGGGCTAGCGAAGCGTCTCCGTCCCTCACTGTGACGTCGGGTGCCTCCGGAGAGCTCGACACCACTGGGGTGCTTGCTGCTGGTCCGAGCTCGCCTGCTTCCTCCCGGCATCGGTCGGGTCACGCCGGTCCTTGGGCATTGCTGCGGCGTCGCCGCCGTCACGGGCGGCTACCACTGACTCGGCTACCGCTGACTCGGAGGCTAGCGAGGAGGCCAGCAGCAGCAACAGCAGCAACAGCAGCAACTGAGGTCGATTTACTGGCAACAGCAGCAACAGCAGTAACCGCGTCAGCAGCAGCAGCAGAAGCAGCAGCAGCAGCAACGCCAGCGTCAGCAGCATCGTCCGCGTCAGCAGCAGCAGCAGCAGCAGCAGCAGCAGCATAGGATTTACTGGCAGAAGGTAAAAAGTCGCAGCAGCAGCAGCAGCAGCAACACCAGCCGCGGCACTGCGGCAACCACCACAGCAGCGACCACAACCGCGCGGGCCGAGGGAGCAGCGGCAGTCCGGCAGAAGGTAAAAAGTGCCTCAAGCAAAACAAAGCAGGAACAAGCTAAACCTCCTGGCACACAGGAATCTGAGCCTGCTCCTCCGCCGCGACCTACGCTGTCCCTCGATTCATCAGTTCACTGCGGGTGACCTTCATCGGGCGGTACGGACACTACTGAGCTCCGGCATCTACAAGGCTGAATCTTTCGCTGATCTTCTTGCTGAAGCACAAGAGAAGTTTCCTGCTGGTGCGTCGCCTGCCTTTTATTCCTCCTGCATGCTCCTGCTGCTTGTTGCTTGATTGCCTGACCCTTAGGCTGCTTGTCTGCGCGGCTTCGCGCTTGGGCTGGCGCTGCCGCGTCTGGGTGCCAGTGTGATTGTGCAGCTTCTCGCTGTGGACTGTGTGCCTGCCGGTTCAGCTTGTTCCTGCTTTGTTTTGCTTGAGGCACTTTTTACCTTCTGCCAGTAAATCCTATCAGTGCCTTTGGAAGTGCTTCCGCGGCTCATCTCACCCAGCAAGCGCTTGCAGTACGGTACTGCAGGTGGATTTGACTGACATCCTCGACACCACTAGCCTGATCCAGGCGATCAAGCGCTACAGCTCCTTTTCAGAGCGTCATCGATACAGTGGGGGATCCTCGTTCTCGACGGCAGGTACCCTCCCATGAGGGCCGCAAGATGAAGGGCGATATCCACATCCCTGGAATCCGCGATCGAGGGTCTGAGCAGTACGAGGGCTTGATGGCGGACGTGACGTTGGTCCACCCTTACATTGGCAGCTCTGCCGACCTGACCAAGTGGGGGGAGGTCAACCTCGCTGTGGACTGTGTGCCTGCCGGTTCAGCTTGTTCCTGCTTTGTTTTGCTTGAGGCACTTTTACCTTCTGCCAGTAAATCCTATACCTCGACGCCCTCCATGTTGCAGCGTCTGACAAGATTCGCAAACATCGCGCTGCATATGCTATGACTACTCCTGTGCCAGGAGGTTTAGCTTGATCCTGCTTTATTTTGCTTGAGGCACTTTTTACCTTCTGCCAGTAAATCCTATACTCCTCCACGTGCCTCCGGAGAGCTCGACACAACTGGGGTGCTTGCTGCTGGTCCGAGCTCGCCTGCTTCCTCCCCGGCATCGGTCGGGTCACGCCGGTCCTTGGGCATTGCTGCGGCGTCGCCGCCGTCACGGGCGGCTACCGCTGACTCGGCTGGATACCGCTGACTCGGAGGCTAGGCTAGCGAGGAGGACTACCTCGAGCGGTACCGTGTTCCTGTGTCCAGCCTCCCTCCGTCCGCTGCCCCTGGCGGACCCCCGGGCAACGCCGGCTCCTTGTCGGCGGCTGCCCTTTCTCCGTCCGCGGCCGCCCGCTTTGTGGCGGCAGCGGACGTCTCGACTGACAGTGGTCAGTCGGCTGCCTCCGGGTATCGCGTCTAAGGGATTTTCTTCCTCCTGCATGCTCCTGCTGCTTGTTGCTTGATTGCTTGACCCTTAGGCTGCTTGTCTGCGCGGCTTCGCGCTTGGGCTGGCGCTTCCGCGTCTGGGTGCCAGCAGTGCTGGTTCTTTTCGGGCTTGTGTTTTGTGTGTGATTGTGCAGCTTCTCGCTGTGGACTGTGTGCCTGCCGGTTCAGCTTGTTCCTGCTTTGTTTTGCTTGAGGCACTTTTTACCTTCTGCCAGTAAATCCACTATTCGCTTTGCGGGGACCGATGACCAAGGGTGGAGGATTCGGCAACACCTGTCACCCCTTTCGAGTCATCCTGCCGCGAGACATTGCAGAGTTGGGTACGGGAAGCAGGAAGGCGGGAAGGTGCTCAAAGAGCAGAACAAGGGTCTGATAGCTGGACGAGGAAGGATCATATCGATCGATGAATTGCAGCAAAGACACAAGACAAGTCAGCCAAAGCTCTGCAGTCTCACCAAAGAGGTGAGACGCAGTGACATGAGGACGAAAGCGCTCATGAATATAGAGGAAGACTCGGAGGTTGGACATCAACCACTTCTGCCAGTAAATCCTGCCTGGTTTACTGCAGCAGCCGCCGACAAGGTTTTTTCAAGCTGGTATTGTAATATCTGAGCGATCTGAGCCGTCGACATTCCTCCAAGAGATAAGAGCTGGGATAGGCTCCCTCCCTCGCGGCCTCAAGGTCCTCGCTTGGCTCGAAGCTTGAAGGACCGGTCATGTGCAATCTTGACCGTACCTCGGTGGCTCGAAACAAGCAAGACCCTCATGCATAGAGCATACAACAACAAAAGCGGGGCCACACGTTTTACCTTATGCGAGTGGAATGTTTACTCGCAGAAGGTAAAAAGTGCCTCAAGCAAAACAAAGCAGGGGAAAGCTAAACCTGCATGCACACAGCGCACAGCGAGAAGCGGCACAAACACACACAGAAAAACAAGACCAAAAGTAAACATCAAAAGGCCGCACGTAACTGTGACAGCAACAAACGCGGCGCAAACACACAAAGCACCAGACCAAAAGTAACCAGCACTGCCACCGTGATACCGGCATCATAGCAGGGACGCCTAGTAAACTGCGGCCCAACTCGATAGCGAGTCACTTGAAAACTGAAACTCGAAGTTGCCGCATCATGTGCTGCGTCACACACCGTCCGGACTCGAGGAGGTGTCCTCTGTGTCTCACGAGTCAAGGGAGTCCGATGCGCATCATGTGGTGAGGCGCTGACGTTATTGTAGGGCTGACATCGCCCCCGGCCCGGGCCGGGCCGGGGGCGACTCGCCGTCAGTGAGGCTCCCGGGTCGAAAGCAGGATCAAGCAACTGAAGTACCGACGGTGTCACGGTCCGAGCGGCCCGGCCGCCCGGGACTCCGACGGCGGGAGTCCCGAGTCCCGGGCGGAGGTATTCGCTGGCTTCACCAGGTAAACCAACTAGCAATCGCATCATGGCTGAGGATCTAGACGGAGGGGAGTTTGAGGTGATCGTGATAGGAACAGACACGATGCAGGCAAGTCAAGACTTGTCTTACCTGTCCTTCACTGCTCTCTCTTCCTCTTCCTCTTCCTCTTCATGTAACTTCCCCTTCCTCTTCACCTATGCTCCCTGTTGGGCGACTCCACTCGGCCCTTGCGCCTTTGCTCATTTTGACTCCTCGCGGTTGTGCCTCCTTCGCTGCTCATGGTATAATTCTGACTTCTGACTTCTTTCCCTTGCACCCCTCACGCCTGATGCCTACCCTACGTCGTGATGTTCCTTTGGCATCCTCTCAGGCTGTGCTCGCGGCTTCCTTGGGGCGGATGGGAAGGAGAGTTTTGCATCTCGACGCTCTACCCTTCTACGGTGAAACCTCATCGACTCACGACCTGGATCAGCTGGAGGAGTGTCTTGAACAGCTCTCGTCGGGAGGTCAAGGAGGGGCGTACGGCCTTCATTTCGACGAGGACAAGATTGCACGATCAATCAAGGTGGCGGCATGGGAGGCAACGGAATGCGACAAGATGGGGCGTCCGGTGATCGAAGACGGCTGCTCACGAGGTCGACCAGACCGTCTGACAGCGATGCCGTCAAACAGAAGGCCAATCATGTATGCGAACGTGAGAGTTGAAGCTCGAGAGGAGCCGAAGCAAGGCGAAGCCAAGAAGCATTTCAACATTGATCTCTCCCCGCGACTGAACTTGAGCAGCGGTCGCATGATCTCTTCGCTTGTCCAATCAGGTGTGGGACGGTACCTCGAGTTTGTCCCTCTCAAGTGGACGAGTTTCTTGGACGGTTCTAGCCCTGCACCATGCTTGTGCAAGATCCCAATGAGCAAAGCAGAGATTTTCCAGTCGAAGATCATCACGCCGATGGAGAAACGCCTCCTGATGAAGTTCTTGCAGCAGTCGGTGGTTCTGGGTGGCGTGTCAGAAGCAGCAGCAGGCGGTTGGGCCATCGAGGGGATCGGAGAGAGCGAGAGGGAGCAACTTGGCTTCCAACGTGCCGTCGGCCACGTGGGAAATGCAAAACATGCAGAAGAAGTGCGGGAATCAGCAGAGCAGCAAGACAAGACGCTCGACGAGGCCATGCAGGCAACTTTGCTGCTGTGTGTTGCCTTTTTGATGGAAAGACCAGGAAGCGAGGCTAACGGAGAAGCTCAAGGATTTCATCGCTCTTGGAATTTGCTTCTCATCTCGTGACCTGCCGCTCCCAAAGGCTGTCGAGAGAGTCACAACCTACACACGGAGTTTGGGAAGATACGCGGACAGCGCTTTCCTCTGCTGCCTGTACGGAGCTTCGGAGCTCCCGCAAGGCTTCTGTCGTATGTCTGCGGTCTACGGAGGGACGTACGTGCTTCGGAAAGGACCTTCTCAGTTCCTCTTCAAGGACGACGGCAGTGCTGGCGGGATCATCTGCAACGATGGGAAAATCTTCCGAGCTCCTCTGATCTTTTGCTCGCCCTTCTACTGTCCCAAAGAGCTGCTAACGTCGCCAAACTCACTAGGAAACGATATGGTAGAGGAGCGCGTGGTGAGCAGGTGCATTTGTATCAGCGAGAGGGCCATTGGGGATGACGGATCTTCGCTTCTTGTTCTCCCTCCTCGTTCTTGCGACAACTCTGTGCCTATCCGGGTCTTGCAACTCGATTGGAGCACTCAGAGCGCTCCTCGAGGTCTCTACCTTTGGCTCCTTTGGGCCTCCGAGCTCGGTTCGTTTGACCTCAGCTCGGCCGTAACGCTTCTCGAGAGCATGACAGGCAGCTCGTGCGTTAAGCGAGTCATCTACTACCATCAGGTACTTCAGCTCGCATTTTACATGTTGTGAGAGCCACAGGTGTCAAAAGAAGGAACAAGTTGGCGCTCCTCAACTGAAGCCCAGCTCTACCCATCTCGCCTGCAGTTACGGCAGGGATTCTGGGTCACCCCCAACCTTAGTCCAGCAGTTGACAGCGGTGAAGCCATTGAGGTGGCCGAGGCAATCTTCAGGTCAAAGCTGTTCCCGTCTTTTCCTCCACTCTCTCCTAGCTCTGCGTTAGTTTGACTTGGCATTCTCAGACAAATCGTCGGTTCAGAACATGTCTTCCTCGACGCCATGCAAGAGCCGGAGGTTGGCTTGTGCTGTCACAATGAGGGGGATGCACTGATGGATTGGCAGAGCGGGATAGACGAGGAGTATCACAAGATTCTTGAATGAGGTAAGCTAAGGGGCATGCAAGCTTGAGCGCAGCCTTCTACTAGCTTCGAGACGGAGCCAAGTCGCCTGCTCGTTTGAGACATTAAAGGCCTCCGGATGAGGAGAAAAGCAATACCCGAGACGAGATTCTCTTCCTCGAGAGGGGGGATGATCTTCCAGTTTGGGCTCTACAGGGCAGCCATGAGGTGAGAGATGGAGAGGACCAGTGAGAGATACCTGCTGAGTCCGGAGCCAGTTGAAGTCTTCCACCTGCTGCAGAGTCATTTCCCTTCCCATGGCCCCTTGTTGACCCTCCGTCCTTCCTCATCTCACCCTGGACCACATGTCTGAGTCCTGATCAAGCCCAAACCCTTGCAAGTGCTTCTCGCAACCTGCATACTGGAAGTTGTATCGTCCGAATCGCAACTGCTTGCTGTGCTCAATTATGGGGCCACTGTGGGAAGAGTGATCAGAGTCAGCAAGCACCCGAGCATGGTAGACCTTCTTGTATGCACGTAAAAATCGCATGCCTGAATGAGAGTGAGCAACGCAAGCGACCAGGTCCGCAGGTACCTCAGCGCTGTGAATCCTCAATTGCTGCGCAGCTACTGAGATCTCACACCTCTCAAGTTTTTCTGCGAGGACTGAGCGAACCTGCGTCAACGTCAGCGTCACTCTCCTTCATGATCACCATCGTCCTCAACCGGGCCAACGTAAACTTTGCAGCCTTCTAACCTATCTGCTCGCAAGGCCCCACAAGTGTCGCCTGCGTGAAGTCATTGATCGATGGCAGAAGACCAAGATAGAGACAGATATAGATGGTGCATCTCCTCAGCCTCGACAGAACAAAGTCTCGTCCACCAACTTCACCAGCTCGCTTGACAAGGACTTGATCTTCTCTGTCGATGAAGCACAGTTCTGCATCGATGTCCCCAGCACGCGTGTCGCCTTGAAAATGATCTTGTCGAGAGGTCGATCCTGTATCTCCATGGATTGAATGTAAGAGGGCAGAAAGTGGAGCTGGAGGGCATCTTCGAGATTTGAAGGAGAACGTGGCAGGAGGTGAAAGCGCATGGCGACTTGTCGTGATCATTTCATGCAGTTTGCATACGGTCTCATTTCCCAGCCTAAGGTCATAACTTGGTAGAAATAGGCTGGCTCGCGCCACCTTTTCCTGCAGCCCTGCCGCTACTTCATTTGCTTGTTTCAGTCTCTCCATAAGCGCACGTCGAGTCTCAGCCCGATCAGCCTCTTGGTCCTGATCCTTAAGAAAGGCTTCGACGACATCCAACGCCTCCATGATGATCCGTTTGTCCTCATTGAAGGAGCCCCAGAACAAGAAGCAGGATTCCGGACCCTCCTTTCTCTCCTTTCCTCGCAGACTTCTCTGACTCCCCGTCTCCTTGTCTCGCTCCCTCCCTTCCTCTGCTCTCCCCATGGACATGCCGCACTGCCGCCAAATATCAAAACTTTGAATTCTCAGGCCCGCCCCAGCCTAAAAACTTCTCTGAAAGAGAGACATGCAGCCGTTGAACTGCGACAGAACACGTCGAGCAATGAAGTAGCTCAGATGTATTTACACGAGAAACGAGAGAAGAAGCTACAGGAGAAGAAGGAGAGGACGATGAAGACGAGGAGGAGCCATCAGCCTTGATTATGACAATGTGGGAGAGACTAGCCCCAGCCGTTCAAACTGTTCAAAGGTCCTTGGTTTCTTCTACATATTGCATGCCGACGGCCTCAAGAGCATCGCGAAAGTGATCAGGGATGGGAGCGACGACCTTGAGGTCGTGTTGACTTAACGGATGTCTGCCACCGATCAAGTAAGCGAGCAGCAATCTTCAAGCATGGGATGCACGTGAACTGAAGGCTCCGGGCGTGAAGCTTCAAGGGAGTGCGAAACTTTTCAGCATCGAAGTGCTTAAGGGAGCTGAAGTCAAATCAGCCTCCTCACGTCCTCCCCCTCGTTCATGTCCTCATCAGCATCTCCTTGCTTTTCTCGTCTCCTTGTCCTCTTCTGCTACTGCTTTCCCTTCCTCACGCTTCTCACCTGGACTCCTTCAGTTCCTCGTCGCTCGCAGTGTAGAGCTCTGCCTCCTTCCCGTATACGTTGTCTCCAACAATCGGAAGGCCGGCGTGCATTGCATGGATGCGAATCTGATGAGTTCTGTCGTGCAGACGCACAAGGTGAGTCGAGGAACAAGCGAGAGGATCAGTAGTGAAATGAAGTTGAAGAGGAGGGCTCAAGGAGAACCTTCCTGTCTTTGGCAAGGCTCGCAGAAGCGTCATGCTCTGCGTTCTTGACCTCCCAAGAACCTCGAATCGTGTTTCAGAAGGTTTTCCCTGTGTGATTGTTAGGGCCCTGGGTATGGGGCTGAAAGCTTTCAACAGCAACGGCGTCAGTCTCACGTCTGGAGAGACGCATCGGAGGAGCTTGCGGTGAGGATGAAAGTCTATCGCTGCATTCACCACGAAGGCGTCTACTTCCCTGCCATCACAGCTGGTCATCGCAGCCTCCGATCTCACTCAACACTCTCACGGTGAAGAACCATCCACGAGGCAAAAGTACTCTTTGACCACCTTCCTCTCTCGGAAGATCTCATGCATCAGGGGCACCTTGCAACGAAAAGCGTGTAGTCAGCCGTCAAAGACCAGGGGAAGCGCGGGAGGTCACCATTCGCTGCTCTTTGGCATAGACGACAACTCCCGACGTCCACATGTCCAACCTGTGTATGACAAAAGGAGTCTTTCCGAGGTGTCCGATCACACGGTTGAGCAGAGTCCCAGACAAGAATCTGTGCGGCGGATTCATCTGCATGCCGGGAGGCTTTGAGACGAAGATGAGGTCGTCGTCTTCGTACAAGACTTGCAAGGGACCATGATCAGCTTGCAGCCTACCCGGGCATTCAGAACCATCAAGTCTCAACAAGGGGGACCTACGGAATCGTCTTGGAAAGTGCCTTATAATCCTGCAGCATGAAATCACTTGCGGGGCTTCTCTGACCGCAACTTACCACAGTCCCGTCAGGCTGGGTGAATTGTTTGAGAAGTTGGGGTGAGATGAAGGACTGAGCTATCCTCTTCTCGTCATCTGTGAGCGGCTTTGGTGTTGAACTCTTCCTTGGTTGTTCGCCTTCTCCCATGTCCAATGCCTTTCCTGTCAGTCTCCGACAAACAGTTTTCTGCCGAACATCTCTGATCTCACGAAAGCAAGGAGATTTGGGAAGAGCAGAGCAAGGCGAAGTGAAGAGAGGAGAGATGAACGAGCACGAGGAGAGTAGAGGAGAGGATAGTGAGCATGAGGAGAGGAGAGGAGAGGAGAGCGAGCATGACGAGCCTCCAACGAGCACGAGCGGAAGCATTTTCCAAGGCAGTTTCGGCATGAGGCCGCAATTCAGTCGTTAGAATCCGTTACATTTTGACTGGAAGGGGTGTGTATTATTGGGACAGGTAGGGGTAGTAGGGGCCGTCCTGAACGAGAACGATGCGGCGGAGAGCGTGGGCGATGACGGTGGCGATGATGCTGATCAGACGGCTGGAAGGAGGAGGAGGAGGAGGAGGAGGAGGACGAGGGCCCTTGCACCTCTCTTCCTTACCGCCATCCCTCTCCTCCCTCTCCTCCCTCTCCCCCGCTGGTTTTGTTGGGCCTGCAGCGCCATTGTTCGCAATGAGCACGGTGGGGCATGCCTTGCTCCGAGGAAGAATGCGCCTTAGCGGAGGAAGCGAAGAATCAGACAAGACAACCATGAGAAAGAAACGGACGAGGGAGGAGATGCTTTCCCCTCAGCTGCCCTCCTCTCGAAGAGCACTCTCCCTCTCATCCTTCTCTACATCGTCGCCAGGGCCTGAACAAAGTGCTGATTTTCATCCAGAAACAGGACTTCAAGGAGAGGAGCTCCCCCCTCTGCTCGCGGCATGGGTAGACAGGCTCCCTCAAGATCTTCTTGAAGTGCTCAGGGTGATCGAGGAGGAAGGAGGTGGACGGGTTTGGCTTGTGGGAGGCTGCATACGGGACTGCCTCGCAGGCCTCATGCCTTGGGAGATCGACTTGGCGACGACCCTGGAGCCTTCGGAGATGCTTCGCCTCTTCCCTCGAGCTCTCGACACGGGCAGCCAGTACGGCACAGTGACGATTAGAAAGGGAGGAGTCAGCGTGGAAGCGACCACGTACGTTGTTTGACTGACGGCCCTAAATGATGAACCCCAAACTTGTTCTTGTCTATGTCCAGTCCATCGTGTCACTTACGACATGCTCGTTCAGGCTGCGAGCTGACGGGACTTACGGTGACGGACGTCGACCAGAGACAGTGACCTTCGGGCGATCCCTGAAAGAAGACCTGTGACACTCCCTCATCCCCAACCATCCTTGTCCTTTCCCTTCCTCTTCCTTTCTCTCTTCTTCTCTCTCCCTCCTCCCTCCATCATATTCTTCCTCTTTTTCATTTCCGATCACTCCTCCTTCCCTTCTCTACCTGCTCGTTCCCCCAGCCCATTCGTTTCTATTCCTTCTCCTGTCTTGTTTTTTGACAATTTCTCCTTCTCTACCTCCTCTCACCAACTCCGTATTCGCCTTTCAAATTTTTTGCATTCGTTTTTCTTCCTCTTCCTCTGCTTTCACAGTATCAGCAAGCAATTTTTGCCTCCATTCCTCCCTCGATCACCGAGTCATGCTCTTGCTGCCTCGGATCCTCTTACCCTTGTTTTCAGGCTACGCCGAGACTTCACTATCAATGCGATGGCGGTCGATGTGGGGCGGAGGAAGCTATTTGACCCGTGGGGGGGGCAGGTGCTTCTCGCGCCCGCTCGCACTCGATCTCATCCTCCTTCAGCACGATGTGAAGCAGAGTATTCTCCGAGCTGTCGGGGATGCCAAGGAAAGGCTGCGAGAGGATGGGCTTCGAGCAATGCGAGCATATCGGTGAGCTGCTGCAGGTGTGATGGAGGAGGCGGACAGAAGCTGAGCCGCCGCAGGTTCATGGACGGCAAGTCCGGGCAGAGACACGCGGACGAGTCGCTGCGAGTAGCTCTAAGAGGATCGTCCAAGCTGCTGGCTCGCGTCTCCAAGGAGAGAATCTGGACTGAATTCTCAAAGATCCTCGCGGGCCCTCGAGCCCCGCTCGTCGTTAGGAGGATGGCAGAGGATGAAGTCCTCAGCTCCGTGACGCTGCTCCCTGTCTCTCCGCGCGGCCTTCGTGCCCTGGAGTGTCTTAGCTGCAAGGACCTGCCCCTCTGGGCTGAGCAAGCGACGGAGATGGAGAGCTCGCACAAGGTTCAGGTCGCTCAGTATGACAAGCAGCTGACGGGAAGGCAGTCGTACAAGGAAGATGTTCTGATGAACCCCAAGCCTCCCAAGAAGCCTCAGGTCACGTGAGCACATGACGATGCCAGCTGACGACGCCAGCAGCCTCACTCGCACTACGCCTTCATCGACTTTGAGGCGACGTGCGACGATAGGAGAGGTGAAGTTGGGGTAATTGAGTGGATAAAGAGAGTGGGGCAGAAAGCAAGGAGGAGGGAGGAGGGAGGAGGGAGGAGGGAGGAGGGAGGAGGGAGGAGGGAGGAGGGAGGAGGGAGGAGGGAGGAGGGAGGAGGGAGGAGAGGTCTGCGAGGGCTTGTGTGTGCAAGGAGAAGGAAGCTGAGGCCATGCCAGGCTTCTCGCCCTCAGAGATCATCGAATTCCCCGTCGTCCTCGTTGAGTCCGCCTCGGGAAAGGTCTGTGAGGGCAAGTAGGAAGAAAACCCAGCTGAGTTCGAGCAGGTTGTGTCTGAATTTCACAGCTTTGTGAGACCGCGAGTTCATCCGTTCTTGACTGATTTCTGCCAAGAACTCACCGGCATCAAGCAGAAAGATGTCCTCTTTCTTCTTTTCTTGCTCTCATGCTCTCTCCTCGATCTGCCTTCGTCTCTTGTCTTCAATCGTCTCTCCTCCCCTATCTTCGCCTCGCGTTCTCTTCTCTCCTCTGCTCATCTCCTCTTCCCTGATACATCTACTTGTGCCTTTCCTCTATCATATCCTCCCCCATGTTGTTCTCATAGGTGGTCAGGTCGACTCGGCCCCGGAGTTCAAGGAAGTTCTTGCCAACATGCTGGTCTGCTCGTTTCGCTTGATCGTGTGCTCAGCTACTGCAGGACTGGTTGGCTGAGCTGGGGCTGCCGGAGGGGTCGGTCATGTTTGCAACTGATGGCGACTGGGACCTTCGCTCGATGCTGCCCAGGCAGTGCGAGCTGGCGGAGGTGCCGCAGCCTGTGGCCCTTCAGCGTTGGGTTGACATCCGGCGAGTCTTCTCCGAGACCCTTAAGACTGGAAACAAGGTGAACAGCAGCTGGGGAAAGAGAAGTGGAAGTGACTTGCCGGGGAAGGGGCTGATGAGCATGTGCCAAGCGCTGGGAATCAACTTCGTCGGGCAGGTGGGGGGGTGAGGGGCAGCTGGAAGTTGAGGTGGACGGGAGCTGAATGAGGAAGGGGGGAAAGGGATTGAATGAGGAAGGGGGGAAAGGGATTGAATGAGGAAGGGAGGAAAGGGATTGAATGGACAGGCTCAGGCTCACTCGGGGATCTGCGACGCTCGAAACATCGCAAGAGTAGGTCTGGTGCTTATGCAGGTGAGGAGGAGGAGGAGAATGAGGGGAAGGAGAACGAGAAGGAGGAGAAGGAGAACGAGAAGGAGGAGAAGGAGAAGGAGGAGAAGGAGTGTGGTTGGTGTGTTGGGGGGAAGCTGTCAAGAGCAGTACAGAGGCTCAAGAGGTCCGAGGGAAAGAGGGGGAAGGAAGCAATCTGATATGAAAGATGAGAAGATGGAAGTGAAGCAGAGGCGAGAGGAGATGAGGGCAGCAGAGGGAGTGAGAGAATGTGTTTTCTTACTGCGAGATAGGAGCATGATGCCGTACTTTCGTCCAACAGTCAGATCAAGGGTGACCCTCATGCTCTTCCCTCCTCCTCTGCGTCTCTGCCGCCTCCTCGTCCTCGTCCCCTTGCCTATTTCCTCACTCACTTGCGACTAGAACTAGACTCCAGCAGGAAGGAGCAGACGGTGGAGGAGGCCGGTGAGACTGGTGAGGCTTCAATGATATCCGCTTGGTCTGACGACAAGAAGCGACCTACGATGAGCAGCGAGAAAGCTCGATCTGCGCGCGCATGTCACTCCTGGTTGCACATGTGAGGAGCTGATGTTTCCCTCAGCTTCGTCTTGTTGTCTCATGCTAGTCCAGGTGGGCTTTGCCGAGCTTGAAGACGCTCTTCGTAGGATGAAGCTGTGGGGAGCAATTCTCTTCCTCCTCCTCTGAGCGTTTGTCAGGTCGCGAGACGAGATGAGGAGAGTCAGGACGCACGTGAAGCTCCTCGGCTTCTTGCCGCATCCTCGCAGCCCAGGAGAACTTCGTCGCTACCGTGCTATTCTCGGCTCTCAGCTCGTCAAGATCCAAGTACAGTCTACGTCCTCTTCCTCTTCCTCTTCCTCTTCTCCCTGCGTGGTGACACCCGTCCAGTTAAAGTTGGAAGCCGCTTGGGCAGCAGCAGATGAAAGCGAGGAGAAGGAGAAGAAGATGGTGAGTGGAGGAGCAGGCTTCCTCGACTGATGCTTGCTCAGCGACTAGTGGAAGACGTGGAGCGTGAACTCTCAGCTCTGCCTCCTCTCAAGGCTCCCAACAGTCCACAGCCTCTTGTCTCAGGTTAACCTCCCCTGCAAGAGCCCAGCTCAACCTCAGCAGGAACGTGGCTGATGAAGGTGGGGGGAGTCGCTCCTGGGCCACTGGTGGGTCGTCTGAAGGATTATCTTCATTACTGCCAGGTCCTCGTCCCCCCCCCTCCTCTTGTCTCAAGTTCCATCAGGTCGATCAAGACCTCGAGACTCCCGAGCAGGTCCAGCAAGTCTTCCACGACATCGAGCTGCTCGCCCGCGACATGGATCAGCTCTCCTACTCTGCGCACTTGGAAGGCCTTCCGCGCCTCCAGTGGCCACCAGCGTGAGCTGCCCGACCTCCTCTAGTCCGACCCGAAGAGAAGAGAAGCCGCGAGCTCCGGGTTGCCGTTGGTTCCTCGCAGAGCTGCTTTAGCTTGATCGCGCGTGAACCCCATGTCTACCAAGCTCTGAATAGCTGACTCCGGAAACTCATCTCCTGCTCCTGCTCCTGCTCCTGCTCCTGCTCCTGCTCCTCCCGCTGCTCCTTGGCCAACCACGCCTGCGCACGATGATCATGTAAAAGCGAACTTGAGGCAGCGAGACCTTGCTGCTTGTCCTCCATCTCGACGTCTTGTCCCGCTTCTTCGATGCGGAGGTGCTTCGGGATATCACCCTCTCCCAGGAAGCTGCACGTGACAGCAACGAGGTGTCAGGATTTGCTAGACTTCGAGGAAGTAGGAGAAAAGAGAGGTAGTAGAAGAGAGAAGTAGGAGGAGAACGGCTCACGGGACTGAGCAGGCGTCGCAGGAGAGAACATTGTTCTTGAGGTCGATGCACATCTTTCATAGATCAGCTCAAGTCACTTCGCCTGCGTCTCACCTGATGTCTCCGCAGGTTGTCAAGTCCAAAGAGAAACTCCATCGACTGATCCTCCAGCACTGTGATGGAGATGGTGATGAACATGTCCCCGAGTTTCATTCCTGCCGCATGTACACGGCCGATGATCTTCGAGGTCCCAACTCCCTTCGCTACCCCCGCATATCCTGCGACCACTCGTCACTTCCCTCCTGCTCTCCCTCTCCTGCCTGTCTCTCCTGCTCTCCCTCTCCTGCCGGTCTCTCCTGCTCTCCCTCTCCTGCCTGTCTCTCCTGCCTGCCTGCCTGCCTGCCTGCCTGCCTGCCTGCCTGCCTTCCTTTCCTCCCAATCTCTCTTACGGTAGTCGATGAGGCGCATCAAACCCAGGCGTTCGGCGCAGGGCTGCACGAGGGTGAGGCACGAGGGAGAGAGGCGAAGGAGGCAGAGCAAAGGCATAAGCACAAGACTGAGACGCGAACCTTTGACATGATAGTGCTCTGAGCGCCGCTATCCACAAACGCCTTGACTGGTCTCTACGAGACAATGTGAGAGAGGAGGAGGAAAGAGGAGGGAGGAGGGAGGAGGGAGGAAGCATTCAAGAAAGGTGGGGAAGTTGAGTACCCCATTGACTTCGCAGTCTACGTACAGCATGACAACGCGCCCGAAGGCCTCTGGGTTGAACTCCATAGCCTGCTCGAGGTTTTGATTGACATTCTCCATGCGGATCGCTTCCTCAATCTCTTTCTGCATTTCACAGCAGCTCAGGATCAACACGATGCGATTGGGTGGGAGGAGGAAGGGAGAATCACAGATGACGTGGGAAAGCAAGGGAAAGGTCCACCTGAGCCTCCACATCGAACGGGTCAGCGTTGAGTCGCATGATGGCTGCGGCTTTCTTCCTCTCGTTCTCCATCTTCTCCTTGTAGATTCCCGCGAGGGTCTGAGTGACCTGCGGCAGACACACTCAGCTCGGGTGTGAGCAGGGAGAGCAGAAGAGACTCGGTCAACGTCGCCAGCAGCCAGGCTCTCTCCTAGTTCCCGGTTGTTCTCTTGCACGCGGCTGAGCAAGCGAGGATCCTGTGCGACAGTCGCCAGCAGTTGCTGGGCCTCATTTCGAAAGCGCTGAAGCGGATCCATGCTTCCAAGAATCTGCTGCAGCATGCTTCTCTGTGAAATCGGTCCGGATGCTCGCGTGCGTCGGAGCATGAGCATGTCGTAGTTCTGGACGGAGGCCTGACGAAGCGACAGGCTGTTGACCAACGACTTACCCTCTCGCAGCAAGTCCTGCTCTCTAAGGGGCACACCGAACTCAACTTCAAGAACCGCCTTGACGTTCTCAACCGTCTCCTCGTGCTCAACTTCGATGCTTCGAACTTCTCCCTGTTCGTCTGTGACGCTCACGGTGATCGTCGCTCCCATTCCCGCACTCGACGGGGGCAAGTCAGCCGGTGCTGCTGGCTGGCTGGCTGGCTGGCTGGGAGGAGGAGGAGCTTGGCACGAGTTGCCTACCGAATCCTGACAAGAGAATCGTCTGTCAAAGATGATGGAGGAGTGAAGTAACGAAGAACGAGCGCCAAGGAAAAGGACAGAGGAAGAGGGCGGCAGACCAGGAAGGGAATGGGTATAAAGCATGGGCATGGGCATGGGCATGATAGTGAGGGAACAGGTGACGTCACCGTTTTGGCCTTTGACTTCATTGCAACTACAGTAGCACCATCTGCAATGCCCAGCTCGTCAATGCGCTTCGAGTCATCAGACAAGATTTGCCCCTTGAAGATCAGCATCGTTATCGTCCCCTGCTGATCAGCTGGAAGCAAACGAGAAGCTTCTTGCCGGAGATCCCCAACCACAGCAGAGGGAGCAAGCTCAACATCGAACTGCTCTTTGGAAACAGTCCTCAAGCTCACCCTCATCTACAACATATTTACAAGTCAGACAAACTTCCTTTCTCTAGGGCCAGGCCCAATCGTTCTCTCGCCTTCTCCTTCTCATCCATTTGTCCTCATTCCTCTCTCCTTCATCCACCCCCTCCTTCCTTTCTGCGCTCCCGTTGGCTTCTCGCTTGTTCCTTCCTCTATAGTTGGCTCCAGCTTCTATCTTTCTCTCTCTTGTTCTTTCCATTCTTCTCCTTCCTCTTCCTGTCACTCCTTCTGTTCTGTTCTGTTCTGTTCTGTTCTCTTCTCTTCTCTTCTCTTCACTTTTCTCCCTAGCTGTGCTCTTATCTGTCCATGTGACTCATCACCCTCATA